TGCATGGTTCCATGCACTGAAATGCATGGTTCCATGCACTGAGATGCATGGTTCCATGCACTGAGATGCATGGTTCCATGCACTGAGATGCATGGTTCCATGCACTGAGATGCATGGTTCCATGCACTGAGATGTATGGTTCCATGCACTGAGATGCATGGTTCCATGCACTGAGATGAATGGTTCCATGCACTGAGATGCATGGTTCCATGCACTGAGATGCATGGTTCCATGCACTGAGATGCATGGTTGCATGCACTGAGATGCAGGGTTCCATGCACTGAGATGCATGGTTCCATGCACTGAGATGCATGGTTCCATGGACTGAGATGCATGGTTCCATGCACTGAGATGCATGGTTCCATGCACTGAGATGCATGGTTCCATGCACTGAGATGCATGGTTCCATGCACTGAGATGCATGGTTCCATGCACTGAGATGCATGGTTCCATGCACTGTGATGCATGGTTCCATGCACTGAGATGAATGGTTCCATGCACTGAGATGCATGGTTCCATGCACTGAGATGCATGGTTCCATGCACTGAGATGCATGGTTCCATGTACTGAGATGCATGGTTCCATGCACTGAGATGCATGGTTGCATGCACTGAGATGCATGGTTCCATGCACTGAGATGAATGGTTCCATGCACTGAGATGCATGGTTCCATGCACTGAGATGAATGGTTCCATGCACTGAGATGCATGGTTCCATGCACTGAGATGAGTGGTTCCATGCACTGTGATGCATGGTTCCATGCACTGAGATGAATGGTTCCATGCACTGAGATGCATGGTTGCATGCACTGAGATGCATGGTTCCATGCACTGAGATGCATGGTTCCATGCACTGAGATGAATGGTTCCATGCACTGAGATGCATGGTTGCATGCACTGAGATGCATGGTTCCATGCACTGAGATGCATGGTTCCATGCACTGAGATGAATGGTTCAATGCACTGAGATGCATGGTTCCATGCACTGAGATGCATGGTTGCATGCACTGAGATGCATGGTTCCATGCACTGAGATGCATGGTTCCATGCACTGAGATGAATGGTTCCATGCACTGAGATGCATGGTTCCATGCACTGAGATGAATGGTTCCATGCACTGAGATGCATGGTTGCATGCACTGAGATGCATGGTTCCATGCACTGAGATGCATGGTTCCATGCACTGAGATGAATGGTTCCATGCACTGAGATGCATGGTTCCATGCACTGAGATGCATGGTTCCATGCACTGAGATGCATGGTTCCATGCACTGAGATGCATGGTTCCATGCACTGAGATGCATGGTTCCATGCACTGAGATGCATGGTTACATGCACTGAGATGCATGGTTACATGCGCGGAGATGCATGGTTCCATGCACTGAGATGCATGGTTCCATGCACCGAGATGCATGGTTCCATGCACCGAGATGCATGGTTCCAGGCACTGAGATGAATGGTTCCATGCACTGAGATGAATGGTTCCATGCACCGAGATGCATGGTTCCATGCACTGAGATGAATGGTTCCATGCACTGAGATGAATGGTTCCATGCACTGAGATGAATGGTTCCATGCACTGAGATGAATGGTTCCATGCACTGAGATGCATGGTTCCATGCACTGAGATGCATGGTTCCATGCACTGAGATGAATGGTTCCATGCACTGAGATGCATGGTTCCATGCACTGAGATGAATGGTTACATGCACTGAGATGCATGGTTACATGCGCGGAGATGCATGGTTCCATGCACTGAGATGCATGGTTCCATGCACCGAGATGCATGGTTCCATGCACCGAGATGCATGGTTCCAGGCACCGAGATGAATGGTTCCATGCACTGAGATGAATGGTTCCATGCATTGAGATGCATGGAACCATGCATCTCAGTGCATGGAACCATGCATCTCAGTCCATGGAACCATTCATCTCAGTGCATGGAACCATGCATCTCAGTGCATGGAACCATGCATCTCAGTGCATGCAACCATGCATCTCAGTGCATGGAACCATTCATCTCAGTGCATGGAACCATGCATCACAGTGCATGGAACCATGCATCTCAGTGCATGGAACCATGCATCTCAGTGCATGGAACCATTCATCTCAGTGCATGGAACCATGCATCACAGTGCATGCAACCATGCATCTCAGTGCATGGAACCATGCATCTCAGTGCATGGAACCATGCATCTCAGTGCATGGAACCATGCATCTCAGTGCATGGAACCATTCATCTCGGTGCCTGGAACCATGCATCTCGGTGCATGGAACCATGCATCTCGGTGCATGGAACCATGCATCTCAGTGCATGGAACCATGCATCTCCGCGCATGTAACCATCCATCTCAGTGCATGTAACCATGCATCTCAGTGCATGGAACCATGCATCTCAGTGCATGGAACCATTCATCTCAGTGCATGGAACCATGCATCTCAGTGCATGGAACCATGCATCTCAGTGCATGGAACCATGCATCTCAGTGCATGGAACCATTCATCTCAGTGCATGGAACCATTCATCTCAGTGCATGGAACCATGCATCACAGTGCATGGAACCATTCATCTCAGTGCATGGAACCATGCATCTCAGTGCATGGAACCATGCATCTCAGTGCATGGAACCATTCATCTCAGTGCATGGAACCATGCATCTCAGTGCATGGAACCATGCATCTCAGTGCATGGAACCATGCATCTCAGTGCATGGAACCATGCATCTCAGTGCATGGAACCATTCATCTCAGTGCATGGAACCATGCATCACAGTGCATGGAACCATGCATCTCAGTGCATGGAACCATGCATCTCAGTGCATGGAACCATGCATCTCAGTGCATGGAACCATGCATCTCAATGCATGGAACCATTCATCTCAGTGCATGGAACCATTCATCTCGGTGCCTGGAACCATGCATCTCGGTGCATGGAACCATGCATCTCGGTGCATGGAACCATGCATCTCAGTGCATGGAACCATGCATCTCCGCGCATGTAACCATGCATCTCAGTGCATGTAACCATGCATCTCAGTGCATGGAACCATGCATCTCAGTGCATGGAACCATTCATCTCAGTGCATGGAACCATGCATCTCAGTGCATGGAACCATGCATCTCAGTGCATGGAACCATTCATCTCAGTGCATGGAACCATTCATCTCAGTGCATGGAACCATTCATCTCAGTGCATGGAACCATTCATCTCAGTGCATGGAACCATGAATCTCAGTGCATGGAACCATTCATCTCAGTGCATGGAACCATTCATCTCAGTGCATGGAACCATGCATCTCGGTGCATGGAACCAAGCATCTCGGTGCATGGAACCATGCATCTCGGTGCATGGAACCATGCATCTCCGCGCATGTAACCATGCATCTCAGTGCATGTAACCATGCATCTCAGTGCATGGAACCATGCATCTCAGTGCATGGAACCATTCATCTCAGTGCATGGAACCATGCATCTCAGTGCATGGAACCATGCATCTCAGTGCATGGAACCATGCATCTCAGTGCATGGAACCATTCATCTCAGTGCATGGAACCATGCATCTCAGTGCATGGAACCATGCATCTCAGTGCATGCAACCATGCATCTCAGTGCATGGAACCATTCATCTCAGTGCATGGAACCATGCATCACAGTGCATGGAACCATTCATCTCATTGCATGGAACCATGCATCTCAGTGCATGGAACCATTCATCTCAGTGCATGGAACCATGCATCTCAGTGCATGGAACCATGCATCTCAGTGCATGGAACCATGCATCTCAGTGCATGGAACCATTCATCTCAGTGCATGGAACCATGCATCACAGTGCATGGAACCATGCATCTCAGTGCATGGAACCATGCATCTCAGTGCATGGAACCATGCATCTCAGTGCATGGAACCATGCATCTCAGTGCATGGAACCATGCATCTCAATGCATGGAACCATTCATCTCAGTGCATGGAACCATTCATCTCGGTGCCTGGAACCATGCATCTCGGTGCATGGAACCATGCATCTCGGTGCATGGAACCATGCATCTCAGTGCATGGAACCATGCATCTCCGCGCATGTAACCATGCATCTCAGTGCATGTAACCATGCATCTCAGTGCATGGAACCATGCATCTCAGTGCATGGAACCATTCATCTCAGTGCATGGAACCATGCATCTCGGTGCATGGAACCATGCATCTCAGTGCATGGAACCATGCATCTCAGTGCATGGAACCATTCATCTCAGTGCATGGAACCATTCATCTCAGTGCATGGAACCATGCATCACAGTGCATGGAACCATTCATCTCAGTGCATGGAACCATGCATCTCAGTGCATGGAACCATTCATCTCAGTGCTTGGAACCATGCATCTCAGTGCATGGAACCATGCATCTCAGTGCATGGAACCATGCATCTCAGTGCATGGAACCATTCATCTCAGTGCATGGAACCATGCATCTCAGTGCATGGAACCATGCATCTCCGCGCATGTAACCATGCATCTCAGTGCATGTAACCATGCATCTCAGTGCATGGAACCATGCATCTCAGTGCATGGAACCATTCATCTCAGTGCATGGAACCATGCATCTCAGTGCATGGAACCATGCATCTCAGTGCATGGAACCATTCATCTCAGTGCATGGAACCATTCATCTCAGTGCATGGAACCATTCATCTCAGTGCATGGAACCATTCATCTCAGTGCATGGAACCATTCATCTCAGTGCATGGAACCATTCATCTCAGTGCATGGAATCATTCATCTCAGTGCATGGAACCATGCATCTCAGTGCATGGAACCATGCATCTCAGTGCATGGAACCATGCATCTCAGTGCATGGAACCATGCATCTCAGTGCATGGAACCATTCATCTCAGTGCATGGAACCATGCATCTCAGTGCATGGAACCATCCATCTCAGTGCATGGAACCATTCATCTCAGTGCATGGAACCATCCATCTCAGTGCATGGAACCATCCATCTCAGTGCATCTCAGCAGATTGTATGGAGGTGAGAGCATGGGGTGGGGAAGATGGGGATGGGGAAGATGGGGGTGGGGAAGATGGGGGTGGGGAAGATGGGGATGGGGAAGATGGGGGTGGGGAAGATGGGGGTGGGGAAGATGGGGGTGGGGAAGATGGGGATGGGGAAGATGGGGATGGGGAAGATGGGGGTGGGGAAGATGGGGGTGGGGAAGATGGGGATGGGGAAGATGGGGATGGGGAAGATGGGGGTGGGGAAGATGGGGATGGGGAAGATGGGGATGGGGAAGATGGGGATGGGGAAGATGGGGATGGGGAAGATGGGGATGGGGAAGATGGGGATGGGGAAAATGCATGGGGGTGGGGAAGACGGGGATGGGGAAAATGCATGGGGGTGGGGAAGACGGGGATGGGGAAAATGCATGGGGGTGGGGAAGACGGGGATGGGGAAAATGCATGGGGGTGGGGAAGACGGGAATGGGGAAAATGCATGGGGGTGGGGAAGACGGGGATGGGGAAAATGCATGGGGGTGGGGAAGACGGGGATGGGGAAAATGCATGGGGGTGGGGAAGACGGGGATGGGGAAAATGCATGGGGGTGGGGAAGACGGGGATGGGGAAAATTCATGGGGGTGGGGAAGACGGGGATGGGGAAAATGCATGGGGGTGGGGAAGACGGGGATGGGGAAAATGCATGGGGGTGGGGAAGACGGGAATGGGGAAAATGCATGGGGGTGGGGAAGACGGGGATGGGGAAAATGCATGGGGGTGGGGAAGACGGGAATGGGGAAAATGCATGGGGGTGGGGAAGACGGGGATGGGGAAAATGCATGGGGGTGGGGAAGACGGGGATGGGGAAAATGCATGGGGGTGGGGAAGACGGGGATGGGGAAAATGCATGGGGGTGGGGAAGACGGGGATGGGGAAAATGCATGGGGGTGGGGAAGACGGGGATGGGGAAAATGCATGGGGGTGGGGAAGACGGGGATGGGGAAAATGCATGGGGGTGGGGAAGACGGGGATGGGGAAAATGCATGGGGGTGGGGAAGACGGGGATGGGGAAAATGCATGGGGGTGGGGAAGACGGGGATGGGGAAAATGCATGGGGGTGGGGAAGACGGGGATGGGGAAAATGCATGGGGGTGGGGAAGACGGGGATGGGGAAAATGCATGGGGGTGGGGAAGACGGGGATGGGGAAAATGCATGGGGGTGGGGAAGACGGGGATGGGGAAAATGCATGGGGGTGGGGAAGACGGGGATGGGGAAAATGCATGGGGGTGGGGAAGACGGGGATGGGGAAAATGCATGGGGGTGGGGAAGACGGGGATGGGGAAAATGCATGGGGGTGGGGAAGACGGGGATGGGGAAAATGCATGGGGGTGGGGAAGACGGGGATGGGGAAAATGCATGGGGGTGGGGAAGACGGGGATGGGGAAAATGCATGGGGGTGGGGAAGACGGGGATGGGGAAAATGCATGGGGGTGGGGAAGACGGGAATGGGGAAAATGCATGGGGGTGGGGAAGACGGGGATGGGGAAAATGCATGGGGGTGGGGAAGACGGGGATGGGGAAAATGCATGGGGGTGGGGAAGACGGGGATGGGGAAAATGCATGGGGGTGGGGAAGACGGGGATGGGGAAAATGCATGGGGGTGTGGAAGACGGGGATGGGGAAAATGCATGGGGGTGGGGAAGACGGGGATGGGGAAAATGCATGGGGGTGGGGAAGACGGGAATGGGGAAAATGCATGGGGGTGGGGAAGACGGGGATGGGGAAAATGCATGGGGGTGGGGAAGACGGGGATGGGGAAAATGCATGGGGGTGGGGAAGACGGGGATGGGGAAAATGCATGGGGGTGGGGAAGACGGGGATGGGGAAAATGCATGGGGGTGGGGAAGACGGGGATGGGGAAAATGCATGGGGGTGGGGAAGACGGGGATGGGGAAAATGCATGGGGGTGGGGAAGACGGGGATGGGGAAAATGCATGGGGGTGGGGAAGACGGGAATGGGGAAAATGCATGGGGGTGGGGAAGACGGGGATGGGGAAAATGCATGGGGGTGGGGAAGACGGGGATGGGGAAAATGCATGGGGGTGGGGAAGACGGGGATGGGGAAAATGCATGGGGGTGGGGAAGACGGGGATGGGGAAAATGCATGGGGGTGGGGAAGACGGGGATGGGGAAAATGCATGGGGGTGGGGAAGACGGGGATGGGGAAAATGCATGGGGGTGGGGAAGACGGGGATGGGGAAAATGCATGGGGGTGGGGAAGACGGGGATGGGGAAAATGCATGGGGGTGGGGAAGACGGGGATGGGGAAAATGCATGGGGGTGGGGAAGACGGGGATGGGGAAAATGCATGGGGGTGGGGAAGACGGGGATGGGGAAAATGCATGGGGGTGGGGAAGACGGGGATGGGGAAAATGCATGGGGGTGGGGAAGACGGGGATGGGGAAAATGCATGGGGGTGGGGAAGACGGGGATGGGGAAAATGCATGGGGGTGGGGAAGACGGGGATGGGGAAAATGCATGGGGGTGGGGTGTTAGCGGGCCCTACGACAGCAAGGGCCCTCGATGACCTTTGACTTGGCAGGTCGGCGCCTAACGATTGAGTCTACTCGGCACCGACGCACGAGTTCGGTGGCGGTCACTAGTGACTACGGGTGACTGTGAGCTACTGCAGCGAACTCGGCGGAATCGGTGCTAGGAATGACGAGTCTTGGGGGTCACGCCACTCCTTGCAGTGTTGGCTGGAGTGGCGTGCACGGAATGCATTTCGATGCTAACTTGGTGTTCAAAATCCAGCGGTTCTTCATCACATTCACCCCTGGCGGACGCGGAACCAACTCCCACGTGCCCTGCTCAATCAAGCTCCGCATCTCCTCTTCCATCGCCTCCTTCACCTTGTCTCCCTTCCAGCAGCCCAAGCCTCCTTCACTGTCATTTTCGCTATGTCCCACTGCCTCTCAGGGTCAGCTGCCACGTCCGGGTCCAGGTGAGTCCACTCCTCGTCCTCCTCCTCGTCATCCAAGCCCGCTGGCTCAACCACTACAGCCCAAGCGTATCGAACAGGCGGGACACCACGAGTGATGCGAGTGGAGCGACGCAGTGGTGCAGTGGTCGTCCCAGAAGCCAACACACGACCACCATCTCTAATTCCCCACATCTCCTTCTCCTCTGTCTGCGGCTCCCCTGTCTGCTGCTCCCCAATCTGCTGCTCCCCAATCTGCTGCTCCCCTGTCTGCTGCTCCCCAATCTGCTGCTCCCCTGTCTGCTGCTCCCCTGTCTCCTGCCCCCCACTCTGCTGCACTCCATCCATGCTGCTCTCGTCCTGCAGCTGCTCAGTCACAAGGCGCTGCCTGTCGGTGATCATCACAGACGGCGACACCACTGTCCCCCCCTCACCAACGGGCAGCGCCGTGGAAGACGAAGAGGAGGGTGGGGCAGGTGCAGGAGGGATGGAGGGTGGAAGAGGAGAGGGAATAACAGGAGGAGGAGGGGTAGCCAATGGGGGTGAGGATGGAGGAGGATCGGTAGGAGGTACCACACGAGGGTACACTGTAGGAGGAGGTGGGGTGGGGACTGAGGTAGGGACATAGGGCATAGCAGGAGGTGCGACCACTTCCTCCTCCTCCACCTCCTCCTCAAGAGTGCCTGGGAAGAGTGAAGGAAGGGGCTCATAGGGCATCGGACGCCCCCCATGCTCCTGCTGATGCCAAGCCTTCCATCCTGCCAAAGACATGGTCTTATAAAAAACTGCTTCCACAGTGGTGATGAGGCGGTTGGACTCCAAGTCCAGCACGTGCCAGCCCTTGCTCGCTGCTGACACCCCCAAGTGCAGCCCCCAACGAGCCTTAGGCGCCAGCTTCCCCCCGCGCTGCGACTGCGGCACCATGTACTGCAGCATGCAGCCCCAGACACGCACCATACTGACACCGGGTTTGCGTCGGAAGGCGAGCTCGTACGGCGTCACACCAGAGGGCAGCGAGGCGTGCTCCACGCGGTTTCGCACCCAGACGGCCTGCGCCAGCGCCAGGTGCCACCAGTGATGCTGCACACCCATGTGCAGCAACATCATCCGCACCGCCTCCACAATGCTGCGCATCTCCCTCTCGGCCATCCCGTTCTGCTCCGGCGTGTATGGGCACGTGAGATCGTGGATGATCCCCTTCTCGTCGAGGAAGAGCGTGAAGTCGTGTCCCAGGAACTCGCCACCCCGATCAGTGCGCAGCGCCTTCACAGTGGTCTTACACTGCCGCTCTGCCATCGGGAGCCACTTCTGGAACGCCCCCAGTGCATCACTCTTCTTGGCCAAAGGGTAGGCCCAAACGAACCGCGTCTTGCGATCCTTGAGCACCAAGAAGTAGCGGCTGTCGTCCTTAGCTGCTTCACAAAAAGGGCCACACAGGTCAGCATGCACCACTCCAAGCAGCTCATCCTCCTCCTCACCCACGGAAGGAAAGGTATGACGAGTGATCTTTCCCACAACACAGGAGACACAAGGCATGCCTGACTTGCCCCCCTTTTCCAACTCCAAGCCCGTCACTGACCCGTGAGCCGCAGTACGCTCTATGGCGTCAACACCGACGTGTGCGAGGCGCGCATGCCACTTGTCCACCTTAGATCGCACGCCCGTCGCCAAAGTGCGCAGGGCCACCGTTTCACCCTCCTGCTGCTGCGTCGAGCATGGCTGGAAGTTCGTGCAGAGAACGCGTCCCTTGAACTCCGCACGACCAAGGAGCGACCCATCTGGCGCGCGCAGCAGAGTCACGTCCCCGGCATCCAGCAGCTGCATGCCACTATCACGCAGCTGCCCAACAGAAAGAAGACTCGCCTGCACTCCAGGTACGTACAGCACGTCCGGCACCAAGACACGTCTGTCCCAGAGCGACTGTGCCTCGCCCCTGCACCTCCTGAGGAGCGCCGTTGAAGCCGATAACCTGTTTGATACCGCCGCCGCTGCTCATCTCCACAAAGGCAAAGCGATCTCCCATGAGATGGTGGGAGCATCCGCTATCAAGTAGCACGACGCTCGGGTTCGCCTTCACAGCAGCTGCAACAGCCTGTAAGCCCTCCCCGGCCTCAGGCTCCAGCATGACGGGAGGAGGATGCTCTACAACGGGCTTCACCATCGCACATGATGACTGCCTGCTCCCCTTAGAGCCATCACCCCCCTTGCCACCCGCGCTGCTGCCTCCAGAACCCTCTCCACCCTTGTCTGCCTCCTTATCCGCCCGCTGCCGACAGTACTTCGCAATATGCCCCGGCTGCCCACACACGTAGCAATTCCCCTTGAACCCTCCTTTCACCCCCTTTGACTGGCCATCCTTAGCCCCTTTCCACTTCTCCCCTCCCTCACCGAACCCACCCCCATGCTTAGGCTGCTGCTGCTGTGCCATAGTGGGAGGGGAAGGGGATGAAGTCTGCTGGAATTGGGGCTTACCCTTCTTGGTAAACACTTGGTTAGCCTGGGGAACAAATTGGTCCTTTCGTCCCTCCGCCGCCAGCGTACACTCCTCCTCGATGATGTAGCTAGCGAGGGTGTCCTCGTCCAGCTCCTTGTGCAATTGCGGCAGCTTCAGCATCCTACGTAAGAGGTTGTGCTGCTGCGGCAACCCCTTCACGGCGTGAGTAATGTACGACGCCTGCGAGTAATCTACGCCGGCCATCCTCAGGTTCACTAGGATCTGCTGCGCACGGTTGCAATAGGACGTGGCGGACTCGTGCTCTCCCATATCTAGGTTAGTGAGCGCCTGCTCTAACTGACCTATGTACAGGTCGTCCTTCGCCATGTACGTGCGCATGATAAACTGCCACGCCTGAAAGCCGGCATCTACCTTCATGCGACACGCCTTAAGGGCGATCTGTACGGTGGGGGAGCAGCATCGAGAAATCGTAGTGAACGTCCCTGGAGTGCAGGCTGACCCTGAGAGGCAGTGGGGCATAGCGAAAATGACAGTGAAGGAGGCCTTGGGCTGCTGGAAGGGAGACAAGGTGAAGGAGGCGATGGATGAGGAGATGCGGAGCTTGATTGAGCAGGGCACGTGGGAGTTGGTTCCGCGTCCGCCAGGGGTGAATGTGATGAAGAACCGCTGGATTTTGAACACCAAGTTCCGACCTGATGGGATAGTGGAGCGTGAGAAGGCGAGGCTGGTGGTGAAGGGGTTCACGCAGGTGGCAGGGGTGGACTATGAGGAGACGTACGCCCCTGTGGGAAGCTATGTGACGGCGCGTGTGCTTCTGGCGATTGCAGCTGCATTTGATTTGGACCTGATGCAGCTGGATGTGAAGAACGCGTTCCTCCATGGCGTGCTGGACCGAGACCTTTACATGGAGCAGCCGAGCTACTACGAGGATGGGACTCCTTGTGTCTGTAATTTGGTGAAGAGTCTGTATGGGCTCAAGCAGAGTCCGATGCTGTGGTATGAGGCCTTGGATGGGGTGCTGCTTGGGGCTGGATGGAAGAAAAGCCAGGTGGATGAGGCTCTGTATTTCAAGAGTGATGCTGAGGGGGAGATGTGCTGGCTGCTGGTGTATGTGGATGACTTGCTGCCAGCCGCAGTCAGAGCATGCTGGGGGAGCTGCGTGAGCTGCTGCAGAGTGCGTTTCAGCTGCGGGAGATTAGTCCTGTGGAGAAGTATCTGGGGTTGCAGCTGATTCGGGACAGGCCTACGAGGAGGCTGTGGCTGCACCAGGGGGCCTATGTGGACAAGGTCCATAGGCGCTTCTTTGACGGGGAGCAGCCGTTGCGAGTGCCTCGCACCCCTCTTTCCTCTGACCCTTTCAGTGTGCAGACCTTCGAGGATGTGGGATGGCAGTCTCGCCAGGAGGAGGAGTACAGGCAGAAGGTGGGATCCTCGCAGTTCGCAGCCTGTACCACCCGTCCCGACATCTCGTTCGCCTGCAGCAAGCTGGGGTCGGGCCAGACTGTGCGGAGTGATCAGCACTGGAAGGAGTTGGACCGGTGCTTGACGTACTTGGTGGGGAGCAGGGATGTGGCGCAGGAGTTTGGTGGTGGGCCGGAGTCCTTGGAGCTGGTGGGCTACGCCGATGCTGATGATGCAGGGGACAAGCAGAACAGGACTAGCACTGGTGGCTATGTCTTTGTGCTCGGGGGCGCTGCTGTCTCTTGGGCGAGTCAGAGGATTCGTTGCGCCACCCTCTCCTCCACTGAGTCTGAGTATGTTGCTGCTGTGGAGGCAGGGAAGGAGGCGCGCAGGCTGCGCTTCCTGCTGGCAGAGTTTCAACTGCTGAGGAGTGAGGAGCCCACGACTCTCTTTGTGGACAACTCCTCCGCCATTTCAGTGGCAGGTGGCATGGGGCTCAAGGGGAGCCTCAAGCACATGGAGCGTCGTCACATGTGGTTGCAGCACATGGTCAAGCGCAGGAAGCTGCAGCTGCAGTACATCCCTACGAGCGAGCAGCCCGCTGACTACCTTACCAAGGCATTGCATTTCCCCGCCTTCAGCCATTGCTTCGAGGCTGTGGGGCAGGTGAGGCTCTCGAGCGAGGGGAGTGAGACCTAGACTCTCCATGATGGGTATGGTGCCATGGCCTATCCATGGCTGGTGCGGTGCGTGTTTGCACTTTGAGAGTGCTTCGTTTGTGTGTGTGTCCCTTTGTTTTGGTGTGTATGTGTGTATGTGTGTATGCATGCCCTGTGATTATAAAGGGCCTTGCTGTCGTATGGCAGGGGAGTGTTAGCGGGCCCTACGACAGCAAGGGCCCTCGATGACCTTTGACTTGGCAGGTCGGCGCCTAACGACTGAGTCTACTCGGCACCGACGCACGAGTTCGGTGGCGGTCACTAGTGACTACGGGTGACTGTGAGCTACTACAGCGAACTCGGAGGAATCGGTGCTAGGAATGACGAGTCTTGGGGGTCACGCCACTCCTTGCAGTGTTGGCTGGAGTGGCGTGCACGGAATGCATTTCGATGCTGAGTTGGGTTTGGACTCCAGCGAGGCGCGTTCACCCACCCGCACAACACCTTCGTGGGGTTGGGTTACACCGGAGCGCCACGCAACATTTGTGCAACTCTCGCTTGCCTATATCTATTGTGTGTTTGCTTGTATGAACTTCATAGTTGATATTACAATTCTACTTGGCAAAACGCTACCGAGTTGCAGGCGCAACACCGTTCTCATAGCAGAAACTCTCTCGCTATCGCTACGCTCTCCATTATATTCCTTCATGGGGAAGACGGGGATGGGGAAAATGCATGGGGGTGGGGAAGACGGGGATGGGGAAAATGCATGGGGGTGGGGAAGACGAGGATGGGGAAAATGCATGGGGGTGGGGAAGATGGGGATGGGGAAAATGCATGGGGGTGGGGAAGACGGGGATGGGGAAAATGCATGGGGGTGGGGAAGACGGGGATGGGGAAAATGCATGGGGGTGGGGAAGACGGGAATGGGGAAAACGCATGGGGGTGGGGAAGACGGGGATGGGGAAAATGCATGGGGGTGGGGAAGAAGGGAATGGGGAAAATGCATGGGGGTGGGGAAGATGGGGATGGGGAAAATGCATGGGGGTGGGGAAGACGGGGATGGGGAAAATGCATGGGGGTGGGGAAGACGGGGATGGGGAAAATGCATGGGGGTGGGGAAGACGGGAATGGGGAAAATGCATGGGGGTGGGGAAGACGGGGATGGGGAAAATGCATGGGGGTGGGGAAGATGGGGATGGGGAAAATGCATGGGGGTGGGGAAGACGGGGATGGGGAAAATGCATGGGGGTGGGGAAGACGGGAATGGGGAAAATGCATGGGGGTGGGGAAGACGGGAATGGGGAAAATGCATGGGGGTGGGGAAGACGGGGATGGGGAAAATGCATGGGGGTGGGGAAGATGGGAATGGGGAAAATGCATGGGGGTGGGGAAGATGGGGATGGGGAAAATGCATGGGGGTGGGGAAGACGGGGATGGGGAAAATGCATGGGGGTGGGGGAGACGGGAATGGGGAAAATGCATGGGGGTGGGGAAGACGGGGATGGGGAAAATGCATGGGGGTGGGGAAGACGGGGATGGGGAAAATGCATGGGGGTGGGGAAGATGGGGATGGGGAAAATGCATGGGGGTGGGGATGTTGAGAGGTTGAAAGGAAGGCTTATTTCACCTAATTCCTTGCGTGGTCGTCTCGTCTCACTCTATCCCAATCGTCTGAACCTCATTGTCCGCTTCCCCCTTTTCCTTCCTCTCCTCCCTCTCCCCCCTCTCCTCCCTCTCCCCACTACACCATCACCTCTTCTCTCGACTCTGCTCTCACAACGCTCTCCCAGTTTTACATGCCAATGGCAAGCCTCCCTTTGAGGCGACTCCTCACTCCTTAACATTCACTTTCACATTCACTCCTTAACCTCCTCCCCACTTGAATTAAAGTATCGCAAATCTTGGTTGATCACAGACTTTGAATGACACTGTAACGGGTTTGCTGACTTTTGTTGCAAGTACTGAAGTTGACCTCTGCATAGAGTGTGGAGCTGCAGTAGGCTATTCGCCAGGGCAGTGGGCTCTCTGCTGTCTTCAGCGTCTGGGAGGACCATTCGAGGGGATGCGAGGACAGAGGGAGCGAGTGAGGGAGAGAGGGGGCGTAGCGGTGGTAGTGAATGAACTGGAGGACGCTTCGCTCCTCCACCTCCGCGTAGAGCGTGGAGCTGCAAAAGGCCAGGCGCCAGGGGAGTGGGCTCTCTGCTCTCTTCAGCTCTCTGAGGGCGTACGGGCAAGAGGAAGGGACGGGGGCAGCCCGACGGTGTGGTAGAGAACAAAGTGGTCGTAGCCTCCAGCGTAGCGGTGGTAGTGGATGAACTGCTGCACGCTGCTCTCACCTCGTTGACATTTATCCTCACCTCCTTCACATCCTCGCGGTAAGGGTAGAGCATCTGACGGTCCATATAGATCTTCAGATGCCCTCCCGTCTCCTCCACCTCTTCTTCCAGTGTGCACTGCAGTATCACCATCTCGTACTGCACCACAGGGCATCACACCACACCGCACCACACCGCACCATACAGCAGCACACCGCAACATATTGCACCATACCGCACCACACACAGAAACACACCGCAGGGCACACCACAGCACAACACAGAACACAGCAGCAGTGCACAACATACCGGAAACAGCAGAATCATTAGGCAGAATCACTAGAAGAAAGTGAGCTTGATCGAACAAATAGTAACAGTAATAAAATGAATGAAAATAGTTATTATAACAACAACAATAACAATAACAATAAAAATAATATTATTAATACCATTAACAGTAACAATAACATATTAATAATAACACCGATATTAATCAAAGTTTAGTTTTAGGTGCAAACAATGTTGGGTTGAGGAAGAAAACAACTTCTGACTCCACTCAAAAGTAGCCCACCATGAAGTTGTGATGCCCCTCCATCACCACCTGTTCAGTCACGTCTTAGAGAGCTGCAGTCGCGTGGTAGGCTTAAGCGAAAAGAACAACAGCGTGACTTTTGAGTCGACTAAAAAATGCCCCTCCATCACCATCTGTTTAGTAGTTTCTCAGAGAGCTGCAGTCGCGTGGTAGGCTTAAGCGAAAGAACAACAGCGGTGAAATCCGCTCTATGTAAAACTAAGTGCTAAAGCGTTAAAGGTGAAAAAAACTTCTGACTCCCCTCAAAGGTAGGTAGCCCACCAGGAAGTTGTGATGCTCCTCCATGACCATCTGGGTGAGCTTGCCGGCAATCACGGTGTGCCCATCCAGGCGGTGCCACCAGCACCCCTCCACTGTCACCTCATTCCTAGCACCATCCCCCCCACAACTCAACCCACCAGGAAAGTGTGATGCCCCTCCATCACCATCTGTGTCAGCTTCCCGGCAATCACAGTGTGCCCATCCAGGCGGTGCCACCAGCACCCTTATACACACACACACACACACACACACACACACACACCTGATTTCAAGCACCGTCCCTCCCACAACCCACCAGAAAGTTGTGATTTCTTAGTCGAACCTCACTTCTAGTGCCCCAAGTTCGCCCCACAACCCACCAGTTTTGAGTCGACTCAAAACTAGGTTTTTTTAGTCGACTCAAAACTAGGTTTTTTTAGTCGACTCAAAACTAACCTCACCTCTAGTACCTCAAGTTCACCCCACAACCCACCAGAAAGTTATGGTGTTCCTCCATGACCATCTGGGTGAGCTTGCCGGCAATCACGGTGTGCCCATCCATCTTGTGTCACCAGCACCCCTCTATGTGCCGGTAGGATCATATTTGCCTTGTTTCTAACACAGTTCGCCCCACAACCCACCAGGAAGTTGTGATGTTCCTCCATCACCATCTGAGTGAGCTTGCCGGCAATCACAGTGTGCCCATCCAGCCGGTACCACCAGCACAGCACCACACCTTATTTCCAGCACCGTCCCCCCCAGCCCACAACCCACCAGGAAGTTGTGATGTTCCTCCATCACCATCTGGGTGAGCTTGCCGGCAATCACGGTGCGCCCATCCATCTTGTGCCACCAGCACCCCTCCAACCGCCGCTTGCTGCGCTGAGCCAGAGCGCCCAGCCCCACCACCACGATGCGTGCCGGTTCCAACCGATAAGCGCTGCTTACAGGGGGGTGGGGGTAGGAGAGGGGGGATGAGTGCGTGGGAAAATATGAGAGCCTCAAAAGCCGCTTGCTGAGCTGAGCCAGCGCACCCAACCCCACCACCACGATGCGTGCTGGCTCCAAACAGTATGCACTGCTCGCAAGGGAGCAAAAAGAGGGGTGGAGGGATATGAGAAGCCTAAAAGAAAGACAAGAAGAAGAAGAAGAAAAAATGTTGCTCTGCGACGACAATGCACCCAGCCAGCCCCCCATCACCATGATGCGTGCCGGATCCAGCCTGTACTCGTTGCTTGCAGAGGGGTGGGGGGAGGTGAGGGGGATGGGTGGGTGGGGAAATATGAGAAGCCTAAAGGCCATCTGCTGCACTGCGACAGTGTCTCCAGCCCCCCATCACCACGATGCGTGCCGGATCCAGCCTGCACTCGTTGCTTGCAGAGGGGTGGGGGCAGGGTGGTTGGCGCAGCAGGAGGGGACAAGGGTAGCGGGTTTTAGGATCCCCCAAACGCCGCTGAGCCAGTGCAACCAGCACAGCGCACCACCACGATGCGTGCCGGTTCCAACCGGTATGCACTGCTTGCATGGGAGCAAAAGGAGGGGTGGAGAGGAGGAGTGGGGGGATATGAGAAGCCTAAAAAGAAAAGCTGTTGCGCTGAGCCAGTGCAACCAGCACAGCTCACCACCACGATGCGTGCCGGTTCCAACCGGTATGCACTGCTTGCATGGGGGAGGGGTGGGTGGCAGGCGAGGGGTGAAGGGAGTGAATGGGTAGGCGAAGGGATGTGAAGGTGGATGGCGGCAGAAGAGGAGTGGAGGCAGAGCAGAGCAGTCCCAGGATTGGAGGAGCATAGTGCAGTGCTGGTCCCACGCAGTGCTGGTCCCACGCAGTGCTGGTCCCACACAGTGCTCGTCTCACGCAGTGCTCGTCCCACGCAGTGCTCGTCCCACACAGTGCTGGTCCCACGCAGTGCTGGTCCCACGCAGTGCTGGTGTGTCAACGGTTGATATACCAGTACTGGATGATGAGACCATAGGCGCGAGTGCGGTGGAAAGAGCCTTTGGATGATATACCTGTACTGGATGGCTTTTGCTCTGAGGTGCCTCAAAAGCTGCTGATGTGGCATTGGGGCACGGACGCACCTGTATTGAATGATGACGCCATAGGCGCCGCCGCGCCGGTGGGATGGAAGGAGGGCTAACCTCTGAAGTGCATGATGCACTGTGCATGCATCAGAAGGCATTGGCGTGAGTGGGAGGGAGCAGACAGACAGACGCACCTGTAGTGAATGAAGGAAGGAGGGCTGGCTTTTGAGGGACCCCAAAAGCCGTTGGCGTGAGGCAGACGCATGATGAAGCCAGTCCCTGAGACGCCTCATAAATCGCACCTGTATTGAATGAAGCCGTAGGCGCCGGTGCGATGGAAGGAGTGCTGGCGCCAGCGGGAGGGGTCATCATCCAACACCACCATCTTGCCTCTTGGCCGCTTGGGCAGCCCCCCTGCTCCTGCTGCTACCTGCTCTGCTGCCTGTGTGTGTACATGTGTGTATGCATGCATGTATGCATGTATGCATGTATGCAGCAAATGCAGGCAAATGCAGGCACGCACATGCAGGAGGGGTCATCATCCAACACCCCCATCTTGCCTCTTGGCCGCTTAGGCAGCCCTGCTGCTCCTGCTGCTACCTGCTCTGCTGCCTGTGTGTGCATGTGTGGATGGACGCATGTATGCAGGCAAATGCAGGCACGCACATGCGGGAGGGTCATCCTCTGAGGCGCCTCAAACGTCCAACTTGGGGCATTATCAAGCGGGAGGGGTCATCATCCAGCACCACCATCTTGCCTCTTGGCGGCCTGGGGAGACCCCTGCTCCTGCTGCTATGTATGTATGGAGGCATGTATGCGTGTAAGCATGGCTCCAACTTGGGGTGCCAGCGGGAGGAGTCATCCTCCAACACCACCATCTTGCCTCTTGGCCGCTTAGGCAGCCCTGCTGCCCCTGCTGCCACCTGCTCTGCTGCCTGTGGTTGTGCGTGAACGCACATGCACACATAGCAGAGAGGGGATGGGTGGGCGGGGAGCAGGGTTAAGTTTAGATGCCTCCCGGCCGCCCCACCATGAGAGCCGCAATCTCAGCCGCCTGCTGCCTTGCATGTGCCATGCCCATAAGCCAACCCATATTGCACCCACCGTTGACCCCACCCACCCACCATGAGAGCCGCAATCTCAGCCGCCTGCTGCCGCATGTCAGCCGTGAGCCGCCCCACTGTCTCATTCAGCCGCGCCCCCCGCTGCTCCCTCGCATGTGCCATGCCCATAAGTCCACCCCACATTGACTTTTGAGGCGCCTCAAAAGTTGAGGCGCCTCAAAAACCCTTGCATGTGCCGTGCCCATAAGCCAACCCATATTGCACCCACCTTGACCCCACCCACCCACCTTGACCCCACCCACCCACCTTTGACCCCACCCACCCACCTTTGACCCCACCCACCCACCTTGACCCCACCCACCCACCTTTGACCCCACCCACCCACCTTTGACCCCACGCACCCACCTTTGACCCCACCCACCCACCTTGACCCCACCCACCCACCTTTGACCCCACCCACCCACCTTTGACCCCACCCACCCACCTTTGACCCCACCCACCCACCTTGACCCCACCCACCCACCTTTGACCCCACCCACCCACCTTTGACCACACATACCCACCTTTGACCCCACCCACCCACCTTTGACCCCACGCACCCACCTTTGACCCCACCCACCCACCTTTGACCCCACCCACCCACCTTTGACCCCACCCACCCACCTTTGACCCCACCCACCCACCTTTGACCCCACCCACCCACCTTTGACCCCACCCACCCACCTTTGACCCCACCCACCCACCTTTGACCCCACCCACCCACCTTTGACCCCACCCACCCACCTTTGACCCCACCCACCCACCTTTGACCCCACCCACCCACCTTTGACCCCACGCACCCACCTTTGACCCCACCCACCCACCTTTGACCCCACCCACCCACCTTTGACCCCACCCACCCACCTTTGACCCCACCCACCCACCTTTGACCCCACCCACCCACCTTGACCCCACCCACCCACCTTTGACCCCACCCACCCACCTTTGACCCCACCCACCCACCTTTGACCCCACCCACCCACCTTTGACCCCACCCACCCACCTTTGACCCCACCCACCCACCTTTGACCCCACCCACCCACCTTTGACCCCACCCACCCACCTTTGACCCCACCGACCCACCTTTGACCCCACGCACCCACCTTTGACCCCACCCACCCACCTTTGACCCCACCCACCCACCTTTGACCCCACCCACCCACCTTTGACCCCACCCACCCACCTTTGACCCCACCCACCCACCTTTGACCCCACCCACCCACCTTTGACCCCACGCACCCACCTTTGACCCCACGCACCCACCTTTGACCCCACCCACCCACCTTTGACCCCACCCACCCACCTTTGACCCCACCCACCCACCTTTGACCCCACCCACCCACCTTTGACCCCACCCACCCACCTTTGACCCCACCCACCCACCTTTGACCCCACCCACCCACCGTTGACCCCACGCACCCACCTTTGACCCCACCCACCCACCTTTGACCCCACCCACCCACCTTTGACCCCACCCACCCACCTTTGACCCCACCCACCCACCTTTGACCCCACGCACCCACCTTTGACCCCACCCACCCACCTTTGACCCCACCCACCCACCTTTGACCCCACCCACCCACCTTTGACCCCACCCACCCACCTTTGACCCCACCCACCCACCTTTGACCCCACCCACCCACCTTTGACCCCACCCACCCACCTTTGACCCCACCCACCCACCTTTGACCCCACCCACCCACCTTTGACCCCACCCACCCACCTTTAACCCCACCCACCCACCTTTGACCCCACCCACCCACCTTTGACCCCACCCACCCACCTTTGACCCCACCCACCCACCTTGACCCCACCCACCCACCTTTGACCCCACCCACCCACCTTTGACCCCACGCACCCACCTTTGACCCCACCCACCCACCTTTGACCCCACCCACCCACCTTTGACCCCACCCACCCACCTTTGACCCCACCCACCCACCTTTGACCCCACCCACCCACCTTTGACCCCACCCACCCACCTTTGACCCCACCCACCCACCTTTGACCCCACCCACCCACCTTTGACCCCACCCACCCACCTTTGACCCCACCCACCCACCTTTAACCCCACCCACCCACCTTTGACCCCACCCACCCACCTTTGACCCCACCCACCCACCTTTGACCCCACCCACCCACCTTTGACCCCACCCACCCACCTTTGACCCCACCCACCCACCTTTGACCCCACCCACCCACCTTTGACCCCACGCACCCACCTTTGACCCCACGCACCCACCTTTGACCCCACGCACCCACCTTTGACCCCACCCACCCACCTTTGACCCCACCCACCCACCTTTGACCCCACCCACCCACCTTTGACCCCACCCACCCACCTTTGACCCCACCCACCCACCTTTGACCCCACCGACCCACCTTTGACACCACGCACCCACCTTTGACCCCACCCACCCACCTTTGACCCCACCCACCCACCTTTGACCCCACCCACCCACCTTTGACCCCACCCACCCACCTTTGACCCCACCCACCCACCTTTGACCCCACGCACCCACCTTTGACCCCACGCACCCACCTTTGACCCCACCCACCCACCTTTGACCCCACCCACCCACCTTTGACCCCACCCACCCACCTTTGACCCCACCCACCCACCTTTGACCCCACCCACCCACCTTTGACCCCACGCACCCACCTTTGACCCCACCCACCCACCTTTGACCCCACCCACCCACCTTTGACCCCACCCACCCACCTTTGACCCCACCCACCCACCTTGACCCCACCCACCCACCTTGACCCCACCCACCCACCTTTGACCCCACCCACCCACCTTGACCCCACCCACCCACCTTTGACCCCACCCACCCACCTTGACCCCACCCACCCACCTTTGACCCCACCCACCCACCTTTGACCACACATACCCACCTTTGACCCCACCCACCCACCTTTGACCCCACGCACCCACCTTTGACCCCACCCACCCACCTTTGACCCCACCCACCCACCTTTGACCCCACCCACCCACCTTTGACCCCACCCACCCACCTTTGACCCCACCCACCCACCTTTGACCCCACCCACCCACCTTTGACCCCACCCACCCACCTTTGACCCCACCCACCCACCTTTGACCCCACCCACCCACCTTTGACCCCACCCACCCACCTTTGACCCCACCGACCCACCTTTGACCCCACGCACCCACCTTTGACCCCACCCACCCACCTTTGACCCCACCCACCCACCTTTGACCCCACCCACCCACCTTTGACCCCACCCACCCACCTTTGACCCCACCCACCCACCTTTGACCCCACCCACCCACCTTTGACCCCACGCACCCACCTTTGACCCCACGCACCCACCTTTGACCCCACCCACCCACCTTTGACCCCACCCACCCACCTTTGACCCCACCCACCCACCTTTGACCCCACCCACCCACCTTTGACCCCACCCACCCACCTTTGACCCCACCCACCCACCTTTGACCCCACCCACCCACCTTTGACCCCACGCACCCACCTTTGACCCCACCCACCCACCTTTGACCCCACCCACCCACCTTTGACCCCACCCACCCACCTTTGACCCCACCCACCCACCTTTGACCCCACGCACCCACCTTTGACCCCACCCACCCACCTTTGACCCCACCCACCCACCTTTGACCCCACCCACCCACCTTTGACCCCACGCACCCACCTTTGACCCCACCCACCCACCTTTGACCCCACCCACCCACCTTTGACCCCACCCACCCACCTTTGACCCCACCCACCCACCTTTGACCCCACCCACCCACCTTGACCCCACCCACCCACCTTTGACCCCACCCACCCACCTTTGACCCCACCCACCCACCTTTGACCCCACCGACCCACCTTTGACCCCACGCACCCACCTTTGACCCCACCCACCCACCTTTGACCCCACCCACCCACCTTTGACCCCACCCACCCACCTTTGACCCCACCCACCCACCTTTGACCCCACGCACCCACCTTTGACCCCACCCACCCACCTTTGACCCCACCCACCCACCTTTGACCCCACCCACCCACCTTTGACCCCACCCACCCACCTTTGACCCCACCCACCCACCTTTGACCCCACCCACCCACCTTTGACCCCACCCACCCACCTTTGACCCCACCCACCCACCTTTGACCCCACCCACCCACCTTTGACCCCACCCACCCACCTTTAACCCCACCCACCCACCTTTGACCCCACCCACCCACCTTTGACCCCACCCACCCACCTTTGACCCCACCCACCCACCTTTGACCCCACCCACCCACCTTTGACCCCACCCACCCACCTTTGACCCCACCCACCCACCTTTGACCCCACGCACCCACCTTTGACCCCACGCACCCACCTTTGACCCCACGCACCCACCTTTGACCCCACCCACCCACCTTTGACCCCACCCACCCACCTTTGACCCCACCCACCCACCTTTGACCCCACCCACCCACCTTTGACCCCACCCACCCACCTTTGACCCCACCGACCCACCTTTGACCCCACGCACCCACCTTTGACCCCACCCACCCACCTTTGACCCCACCCACCCACCTTTGACCCCACCCACCCACCTTTGACCCCACCCACCCACCTTTGACCCCACCCACCCACCTTTGACCCCACGCACCCACCTTTGACCCCACGCACCCACCTTTGACCCCACCCACCCACCTTTGACCCCACCCACCCACCTTTGACCCCACCCACCCACCTTTGACCCCACCCACCCACCTTTGACCCCACCCACCCACCTTTGACCCCACGCACCCACCTTTGACCCCACCCACCCACCTTTGACCCCACCCACCCACCTTTGACCCCACCCACCCACCTTTGACCCCACCCACCCACCTTGACCCCACCCACCCACCTTTGACCCCACCCACCCACCTTTGACCCCACCCACCCACCTTTGACCCCACCCACCCACCTTTGACCCCACCCACCCACCTTGACCCCACCCACCCACCTTTGACCCCACCCACCCACCTTTGACCCCACCCACCCACCTTGAGAACTGCTATCTCAGCCGCCTGCTGCCGCATGCCAGCCGTGAGCCGCCCCACCGTCTCATTCAGCTGCGGTTGGTGTCCATGATTCCTCCCACACACTGCACTGCACCAACCCACCTTGACCGCACTGCACCGCACGCACCCACCTTGAGAGCCGCGATCTCTGCGGCCTGTTGTCTCATGCCAGCCGTGAGCCGCCCCACGGTCTCATTCAGCTGCGCCGCCTCAAAAGAACCGCACTGCACCCACCTTGACTGCAGCACACCGCACAGCACCCACCTTGAGAGCCGCGATTTCTGCGGCCTGTTGTCTCATGCCAGCCGTGAGCCGCCCCACGGTCTCATTCAGCTGCGCCGCCCGCTGCTCCGCGTCCCGTGCACGCGCCTCCAGCACCACCGCCCAGTCGCCGCCCATGTCCGCCGACCCGTTGCCGCCCGCCTCGGTTCTGGCACGCTGCAGCGCCTGCACGCTCTCCACCTGCCCGCCCAGCCGCCCCACCTCCTCCCGGACCACCCCTGTAACGTTTTCCGCTGCTATCCGTGCCACGTGCTCTGTGGGGAGAGAGAGAAGAGGTAGGGGGGGCGTAGGTAGGGGGGCGAATGTTGAGTCAGTTCACAGGTGCCCTCCACCTGCCCGCCCAGCTGCCCCACCTCCTCCCGCACCACCCCCGCCACGTCTTGCTCTGCGATTCATGCCACGTGCTCTGTTGCTAGATGTCTAGTTTTGAGGCACCTCAAAACTAGACTCTGCGATTCATGCCACGTGCTCTGTTGCTAGATGTCTAGTTTTGAGGCACCTCAAAACTAGACTCTGCGATTCATGCCACGTGCTCTGTTGCTAGATGTCTAGTTTTGAGGCACCTCAAAACTAGACTCTGCGATTCATGCCACGTGCTCTGTTGTTAGATGGGGGGTGCGGACGGAGGAAAGGCAGAGAGGGGGGGGTGGAGATTGTAGGGGGGGGGAGGCAGGGGGGCAACTCTTAAGTTGGCTCAAAACACCCCTCCCCTCCACCTGCCCGCCCAGCCGCCCCACCTCCTCCCGCACCATCCCTGCCACGTTCTCCGCTGCTATTCGTGCCACGTGGTCTGGGGGAAAGGGGGGTTGAGGGGGGGTTGAGGCGGGGGGGAGGCAGGGGAAATAGGGAAAGGAAGGATAGGGGAAACGAGACAAGGGTGAGGAGAGGAGGGAGAGAGAGGGGAGATGGCAGAAACGAAGGGGAGGGATCAAGTTGATGGAATGGGAGGTACGTGGGCTTGAGACAGTGGGAGGAAATGAGCAGAAAATAACGCATGGAGAGGGAGGGGGAAGGATGGAGAGAAGGGGGGCGCATGGGGAATGGGAGGGGTGGAATGGAAAGAGTGGATTGGGGAACAGAGCATACCTTCAATCGCCATGAGTCGCGTGTCAAGGTCAGCTGAAGGCTTCCTTCCCTCCCACTCTTGGTGCTGCCACGTCACATGCCAGGTCACATGCCACGTCACATGCCACGTCACATGCCACGTCACATGCCACGTCATGCCACACCGTGACGTGACATGGCATGGCATGGCATGGCAAAGACAAGAATGTGGGTGTTAACAGAGTCCTTGACCGATAGTTTCAGAACATGAGGAGGTGAACATTTTGTGAGGCGCCTCAAATTTATGAAATCCGTGCGAATTGACAGGATTATTTACGCGCCTAAGAAATTGTCTCATCTCATCACATGGGAGCAGAATGTGTGAGAAGTGTGCACATGGTGCATGAGAGCAGCGCACTTGGTGCATGAGAGGGAGCAGAGCAGAGCAGTGCGGCGCACCTGCGGCGCACCTGGTGCATGGCAAAGAGAGAGAGAACGGCGGTGACGAGGCAGCCTGTCGATATGCCCTGCCACGTGGCAACACGGCATGGGGCGAGGCATGGGGCGATATGGCATGGGGCAAACCGGCAAGGGGCAATATGACATGACATGGCATTATGCGGTGAGACGGAGAGAGGCGAGGAGAAAGAAAGAGTCGTGCTGAGATCGAACTCGCTCGTGACTTGACAACGCGGAGGAGAGAGTGGCATCTCAACTCAACTCAATCGCATCTCAGAGCACTATGCCTCCAACGCCAATCGTCAGAACAATGTGCATAGATTTTGGGATGAAAGCGGCGCTGTGAGTGTGTATCCAGATCCGCTGTGAATTCTGGCTTTTGAGTCGACTCAAAACACGATTTTGGGATGAAATGAAAGTGCTGTGTGTGTATCCAGATCCGCTGTAAATTCTAGGGTACGGACGGAATTCGGCGGGGCGGTTGAAAGAAACCCAGTAATGAATGGGGATCAGTGCTACTAATACCAGCCGACACGGCCACAGGCCCACAGCTGTGTGATATGAATGCTGTGCATCGATCGTCGTTCATCCGCATGGCTACAAGAGCGGCCATTGGCAAGGAGCTGCCTGAAGATGTCACCCTTCCCCCTCCCCACTCCTCCCCACTCCTCCCCACTCCTCCCCACTCCTCCCCACTCCTCCCCACTCCTACCCACCCCGCCCCTTTTCCCCCCTTCGCCCCTTCCTCCCCGCCCCCTCCCCCCACCCTCCCTTCCCCCTCCCCGAATGCGGAATTCGCACACTTGGTGTGTGCCTCGACACCTATCTGCCGAAACTGTCAAACCCCCTCCCTCCTCTCCCCTCCCCTCTCCCCTCCTCCCAACCCCCCCTTTCCCCCCTTCGCCCTCCCAAACCCCCCTTCCCCCTACCCCCCTCAATGTGTTTTGTTTCCGCTCGGAGTGCGCTTCGGTACGAGCTGTCTAAGCTGTTAAACCCCTTACCCCAACCTAGCCCCCTCCCCCCTCCCCGCCCACTCCCCCCCCCCTTCCTTCTCTTTCCCCCTCCCCCAATGAATGTGAACTTAACGCACTCAGAGTGCGCTTCGGCACGGAGCTGACGGGAAAGTGGGCGATACAAAACTCACAGTCACTTCTTGAAAAAAAAGAGAGAGAAAAAAAGAGAAGAAAAGCAAGCAAACAAACAAACAATGGCGACACGAGGCTCGAGGCTCACAATCGCCAGCTGTCGAGTGCGCTTCGGCATCATCGTCATCCCCCCGCCGATTATGGCCCACAACCGGCTGTCGGTTTGTCCCTTCATTGCCCGCCGTCGCTCACTGCTGGCCGTCGCTCACTGCCCGCCGTCGCTCACTGCTGGCCGTCGCTCACTGCCGGCCGTCGCTCACTGCCGGCCGTCGCTCACTGCCGGCCGTCGCTCACTGCCGGCCGTCGCTCACTGCTGGCCGAAGCTCACTGGCGGCCGCCCCGCGCGTCTAACTCGCGCAGCCGCGCCGCTCCAGAAGGAGGCAGAGACGAGCGAGAGCAGCACGGCCCGGCGCGGTGGGAGAGCGAAAGCACGCGAGGAACGAGAGAACGATGCGGCGAGAGCGATGCGGCGAGAGCATGAGAAGCGCGGGAGACGGAACGCGGGGCGAGGCGACGTCTGGAAAAATGGCGTTGGTCAAACGCACTTGCGCAGGGCCGAATGCTGGTTCCCCGCGAGTGCTGGGAGAGAGTTCGTAGTGATACTATTACTATAAACAGTCCTAGTAGAATGATGCGCACGCCGCGTACGGTTGAGAATGATGCGCTATTAACGCGGATGTCGACGGAGTCGTCCCAAAGTACTAGGTAACTGGTGGAAGTTGTGATGATCGCCTTGCGTACACAAGTTAGAAACTTTCTAAGACACGCAACGCAAGCTTCGACTCCACAAATTCGCTGACGACGACGGTACAGTATTGTACATGACTATGTATGTCAAACAGTGCTGCAGGTTCTCCGAGATAGATGGAGGAGGACCCGAATCCTCCCTATGCCGGTGATGTGTTCAAGGCTGTGAAACACTTCACCTATGACAGTGGGCTGTAGGTAGGTAGGAACCCTTCATCCGTGTATATGGGTGTTGTCGAACAGTGCAAACGGCCATGAGGCGGGAAACCACCCGCGTCGCGGGAATACCGAAAATGTTTGTTCGTGAATCCTAGTGTAGTGGTGCCAGACAAAGCGAATTCTCCCGCTCGGCAATCTACAGCGTGACCATGGTTACAAGGATGCGTGTCTCGGGACAAAGTTGTCGCCAAATGTCGTCACTTATCTCGTTAGGGTACAGCGGCGGCTTTCGCTGATCTGTTTGGGGATAATTAGTCGCAGAAATCCGCGATGTAAATTCTTCGCATAAGTTTATCACTTACTGTATTCGGAGAGGGGTGGAGCATGACGGACTCCACCACCCACATCAATCACCTTCTGAGTTAGGGAATTTGACCCAGGGGATTTGACCCTGTTAAGAGATGACTCTTTAAAGCCCGAGGTCAGCATGGCGATTTATCAAGTTATGTGAGGTTGAAATAGTGTTGGCGAAACCTTGAAAACAAGAATTTCGGCAAAGTCAGTGTAGCGAAAAAGAGATTGATTGACGAGGGGGAAATGGGTCTCGCCAAACGTGATGCGATGGTGAACGATACTGTGCGTCGTGTCAAACTTGCAAAACAAAGAATTGCGACTGGAAGGAGTGTCGCAAGGATTGTTCCTCAGCCAATCAGATTCAAGTAGGGGAGAAAGTCCACGCACAATGCAACTACCTGCAAAAACGAAAACAGGAAGCACCAACAACCTCCGAACGAGTGAGGATAAGAAGACACAGCGATCATCCAAGCAAGCTAACTACTCACGATTGAAACAGCCGAGGAGCTAATAACAATAGAACGTGCAAACGTCATTGACGTCCCAGAACAAGCACATGCGGGGACGCAGCAAGGGACGTTTAGAAGAGCGCGACATCGCTTGCTGCCGCGGTACCGGCGATAGGCATTAGCAAATAGACATCGCTCATTGTGCTTGTAACGGATTTGCGTAAGAGTGTAAATCCGTTCCCCTATGAGCTGCGCAGATTTTGTCGCACGGAAGCAAGTCACTGTGCGAGGCGTGCGCAGCTCAAGGACAGAGCGGAATGAGGCGCGTGGTGGGGATGAGGCGGGTGGTTGGGATGAGGCGCGTGGTTGGGATGAGGCGCGTGGCGGGGATGAGGCGCGTGGTGGGGATGAGGCGCGGAAAGGGATGAGGCGCGGAATGGGTGGCGCGGAAGGGGATGAGGCGCGGAAGGGGATGAGGCGCGGAAGGGGATGAGGCGCGGAAGGGGATGAGGCGCGGAAGGGGATGAGGCGCGGAAGGAGATGAGGCGCGGAAGAGGATGAGGCGCGGAAGGGGACGACGAGGAAGGGGATGAGGCGCTGATTCCCCTCATTCCCCTCCTTTCCCCCCTTGCTTCCCCTCCTTTCCCCCCTTGCTTCCCCTTCTTTCTCCCCCTGCTTCCCCTCCTTTTCCCCCTTGCTTCCCCTCTTTTTCCCCCTTGCTTCCCCTCTTTTTCCCCCCTGATTCCCCTCCTTTCCCCCCTTGCTTCCCCTCCTTTCCGCCCTTGCTTCTCCTCATTTCCCTCCCTGCTTCTCCTCATTTCCCTCCCTGCTTCTCCTCATTTCCCCCCTTGCTTCCCCTCATTTTCATCCCTGCTTCTCCTCATTTCCCCCTTGCTTCACCTCATTTCCCTCCCTGCTTCCCCTCATTTCCCTCCCTGCTTCACCTCGTTTCCCTCCCTGCTTCTTCTCATTTCCCCCCTTGCTTCCCCTCATTTTCATCCCTGCTTCTCCTCATTTCGCCCCTGCTTCCACTCATCCCTGCTTCCCCTCATCCCTGCTTCCACTCATCCCTGCTTCCACTCATCCCTGCTTCCCCTCATCCCTGCTTCCACTCATCCCTGCTTCCCCTCATCCCTGCTTCCACTCATCCCTGCTTCCCCTCATCCCTGCTTCCCCTCATCCCTGCTTGCACTCATCCCTGCTTCCACTCATCCCTGCTTCCCCTTATCCCTGCTTCCACTCATCCCTGCTTCCCCTCATCCCTGCTTCCCCTCATCCCTGCTTCCACTCATCCCTGCTTCCGCTCATCCCTGCTTCCCCTCATCCCTGCTTCCACTCATCCCTGCTTCCCCTCATCCCTGCTTCCACTCATCCCTGCTTCCCCCCATCCCTGCTTCCCCTCATCCCTGCTTCCACTCATCCCTGCTTCCACTCATCCCTGCTTCCACTCATCCCTGCTTCCCCTCATCCCTGCTTCCACTCATCCCTGCTTCCACTCATCCCTGCTTCCCCTCATCCCTACTTCTCCTCATTTCCCTCCCCGCTTTCCCTGTTTGTACCTGCTTCTCCTCATTTCCCCCCTGCTTCCACTCATATCCACCCCTGCTTCCCCTCCTTTCCCCCCTTGCTCCTAACCTCCCTCTTCTTACGGTACTTCCTTCTTTCCCTCTCACCCGTGCTTTCCTCTTCCCCCTCTTCCCTATCTCCCCTATCTCCCCTGTTCGCCTTTTTTATGGTTCCCCCTCCCCATCCCTCGTATTCCCTCCCTCTCCCTGGCTATTGCAGTGACTACACTGAAGATTTTTATGGTACTGCAACTCGTCTCAGTGCATCATCCGATGCCATGCTCGTAGAGAAACCAGTTCCCCCCATGTTTTTTCAAGGCCTTGAGAAAGGTACAATCAGAAGTATTAGGAACATGATTCTATGTACCCTTCTGACACTCTTAGGGCGTGTTCCTACGGCCCCTTATCAGGGACACCTCGTATCAGCTTCGCATTTTTGCCTGGTAAAAGTAGCGAGAGTTTTTGGGTTTAGGGAAATTTCAGTGTGTTGTGACGCGAGCCTGATAAGAGGTTGGCCTGATAAGGGGCCGTAGGAACACGCCCTTAGGGTACATTCCGCTGTGGACACTGTCTCAAAGAAAGTGTCCCAATCGTATTTGTGACTAATTGTGACACTCCGAACAGAATGTTCGTGACTAATTGTGATACGCCGAAAACAATGTTCGTGGCTAATCGTGATACCCCTTCGTCACTAATTGTGAAACTTCGAACCATAAACAGTGACGACTTTGCCAGATGTCGTAACATGAGTGGTTGCATATTTCTGTTCATCCTTTTCGGCGTATCACAATTAGTCACGAACATTCTGTTCGGAGTGTCACAATTAGTAACAAATACGATTGGGACACTTTCTTTGAGACAGTGTCCACAGCGGAATGTACCTATAGTGTCCATGCATCTTGGAAGAATATCTTGCACTGCAGAAACAAAAGTACATATTGTGCCGTTGAGATGGATATCTCTCCAACAGTAATCGCATACAACACACAAGAAACATGTGGTGGTACGGTGTAAAGCATCGACTAGCTGCGCCTCAGCTTGCTCCTCTGCTTCACCACTGGAACATGGGGATGGTGGTGTGAGGTGGAAGGGAACAACGGCAAGGGGATACAAGCAAGCGCACATGATGAAAGCATGTATGGTGAGGAGTGAGGGGGAAGGGGAGGGCATGAAAAGGAAGGGAAGGGTTGAGAAGGGATGGGCAGGACAGGGAGGGAAAAGCAGGGATGGGGAGGGCAGGTGGGAACAGGGCAGAGGGTGGGGGGAAGGAGGGCTGAGAGTGGTGGGAAGGAGAGTGAGAGTGCGAGAGGACGGGGAGAGAGTGCGGGAAGACTGAGAGAGAGAGTGTGGGAGGAAGGAGAGTGAGAGTGCGGGTGCAAGGAGAGAGAGAGAGAGAGTGCGGGAGAAGGGAGAGTGAGGAATGGGTTCGTGAGGGTGGGAAGGAATGTGAGAAGGTGGGAAGGAATGAGAGGGTGGGAAGGAAAGAGAGAGTGTGGGAAGAAAAGAGTTAGGGTGGTAAGGAATGAGAGAATCCCTGAAGGAATCATATGTGGTTGGGAAGGAATGGGTGTGGGTGGGAAGGAATGAGGGAAGGGGATGGGGGGAAGCAGGGAAGGGGATGGGGGGAAGCAGGGCAGGGGATGGGGGGAAGCAGGGAAGGGGATGGGGGGAAGCAGGGAAGGGGATGGAGGGAAGCAGGGCAGGGGATGGGGGGAAGCAGGGAAGGGGATGGGGGGAAGCAGGGAAGGGGATGGGGGGAAGCAGGGCAGGGGATGGGGGGAAGCAGGGTAGGGGATGGGGGGAAGCAGGGCAGGGGATGGGGGGAAGCAGGGAAGGGGATAGGGGGAAGCAGTGAAGGGGATGGGGGGAAGCAGGGCAGGGGATGGGGGGAAGCAGTGAAGGGGATGGGGGGAAGCAGGGCAGGGGATGGGGGGAAGCAGGGCAGGGGATGGGGGGAAGCAGGGCAGGGGATGGGAGGAAGCAGGGCAGGGGATGGGGGGAAGCAGGGCAGGGGATGGGAGGAAGCAGGGCAGGGGATGGGGGGAAGCAGGTGAGGCAAAGGAGAATAGATTGGGGGGGAAACAGAGCTGGTGGGAGAAAGGGAGGTTGCCAAAGATAAGAGGGGTGTAAACAATTCGGGGTAAGTGAGGTCGACGGGGAGAGGGAGTGAGGGAAGTACCCGCTCTCACCCTCTGTCTCTCACTCTCTGCCCCTCCCCTCTGTTCCTCCCCCTCCGTCCTTCCCTTTCTGTCTCTCCCCCTCGGCCCTTCACCCTCTGTCTCTCCACCTGTATCCTTCCCCCTCTGTCTCTCCCCATTTGTCCTTCCCCCTCTGTCTTTCCCCCTCTGTCCTCCTCCCTGTTCCTCCCCCCTCTGTCTCTCCCCCTCTGTCCTTCCCTATCTCCCCCTTGTCCTTCCCCTTCTGTCCTTCTCATCTCCCCCGCCCGTTCCCTTCCTGTCACCCGCCCATCAATAATTCTTTCACTGTGACACCATCCCCCCCTCAGCTGTCCATCCCCCTCTGTCCCACCCGCTCTGCCCCTCACATCAGTATCCACTCACTGCGGCTGGAAGGAGCGAGGGCGTATGGGGGAGTTGCTACACACGATGGTGTCGATGGCGACGTGAATAGGGGTTGGCGATAAGGACTATCGCTTCCCAATTGGGGTGGCGGAGGCGACGACGGGACGCGAGGGCCTAGAGGAGCAACTGGGGCAACGACAGATGCGCGTGACGTCGGCTTCAGCTAGTGATCTACGGAAGATCGCGAGTGAATGGTTGAGCGCGTGACGAGGGGAGGAGGCAACGAGGGGAAGCGCGCGTGACGAGAAGGCACGTGCGCGACGAGCGGAAATGTGCGTGACGAAGGGAATCGCGCGTGAGGAAGGGAAACGCGCGTGACGAAGGGAAACGCGGGAGACGAAGGGAAGCGCATGCCGAGGGGAAGCACGGAATCGCGGGCAGGCGCGAGTGACGAGGGGGAGCGCGGGTGACGACGCGCGCTAAACGTGGGGTAGCATGGTGAAGCACTCGTTTGTGACACACGTTCCGTGTGAGTAACGCGAAAATGTATGTAAATATCGTTACTCGCACTGGGCTTGTGCTGCCCAGCTATTGGCGGGACAGCATGAACGACGTGAGTTGCCAGAAATAAACGCGGTCAGGGGAACTAACTGATGCCGCATTGGCTTTCTAGGCCGATCATGAGTACTATTAGGTGTTCAAGATATGTGAGAGCCAAACAGTGGGCCAGCCTGAGCGACGTTCGGTTCTGTTTTGCGATTGTGCACAAAAGCCAATGAGAAAGCCAATGAGAAAGCCAATGAGAAGAGAGTGTCGCTAGGCATCTTCCCAGGGTCGCGAGAGTTCCCTCAAACAAAGTAGGGTAACCCTGTTTTTGACTATTTCAAGTTCAAGAATCTTGAACTTGAAAATAACCATGCTGTACTCGGGCTTTAACGCTTTAGACTTTTACAGGATCAGAATGTTTTCCAGTACATTGTCACCGTTATCCGTTGCACCTAGGATTACATAATTATGGGCATAAATGACCAATACCGCATCAATATTCCCCTCGTGCTCTCAAGGATGCTCGCCCTCTATCCCTGTGGTCCAACCCACAGATCCCGTGTGATGCTAAGCATGCATCACCTTGCCCGACACGACACTGTGTTATAAAGAAAAGGAGCTACCATCAACAAATGTTCGCCACCAGCCACGTGTGTTCATAGATCAGCAGCATCATTACTCCTCTAATACCGCCCCCCTCCACCACCTCCACCGCCACCACCACGACTGCTATACCCACCCCCTCCCCCACCACCACCTCCCCCTCCTTGATACCCATGCTGCTCCTGTTGCCTGTATGCCCCTCCCCCTCCTTTAGACGACTTTGGGGGAGCCTCCTCCTCCTCATACTCATCATACCCTCCCCTCCCTCCTCCACCTCCCCCACCCCCTCCTCTCCCCCCGTCCCTGCCATAATCCCTACCCCTATCGTCATACCCATCATCCCTCCCGTAATCCCCTCCCCCTCTCCCCCCGCCCCCTCCCTGTCCCCCATGTGCTGCCCTGCTTCCAGAGCCGTGGGAGTGGCTGTCGTGTGCGTCTCCCCCTCCAGATGCCGCTGGGGCGTCTGTGTTTTAGCGGGAGAAAGGAGGGGATCGGGAGGGGGAGGGGAGGTGACTGAACTGCTGCCCTGCTGCCAGAGCCGTGGGAGTGGCTATCGTGGGGGTCCCCTCCTCCAGATGCGGCTGGGGCGTCTGTGTGGGTAAGGAAACAAGGGGGGGACAGGCGGACTATGGGAGGCAAGAGAGATTGAGAGGGAGAAATGTGTATGCACTCATGGGATGTTTAAAGGTTGACCGTGTAGTGCTGTAGTGCTGCCCTGCTGCCGTGTGCCATTGTAACGAGGTGACTTTTGAGTCGACTCTAAAGTCACCTAGAAATGTGTATGCACTCGTGGGATGGATAAAGGTTGACCGTTTAGATCTGTAGTGCTGCCCTGCTGCCAGCTGCCACAGCTGTGGGAGTGTGCTGTGACAGGTTCATCCCCTCCCGATGCACCTGGGGCGTCTGTGTGTGGGGGGGAGCGAAAGAGGGGAAGACGGGAAGGAGAGAAAGAGGAGGTGGGGGAAGGATGATGGGAGGCGGGACTGTAAGCGATATCAACGGGCGAAGTGGGAGAGGTGTTGTTCATAGGATGTGAAAGAGAGATACAGGGTGACTGAAAGAGATTCAGGGTGACTGTAATGTAGCGTTGCCGACTGCCAGAGCTGTGGGAGTGCTTGTCGTGTGGATCCTGCCATTCCATGCAGGTGAGGCATCTGTGTGTGTGTGGGATGTGAGGTGGGAGAAGAGACGAGGGCCATTGGGATATGTGGCTTTGAGGTGGTTACCTGCAAAGAGGGAGTTGAGGCCTGGCTTCTTCCCCTTGCTCTTCTTCTTCAGCTCCAACGCGCCACCTGCCACAAAACACATGACCAAGACCCAACGCAAAATAGAAACAGTACACGGCCAAACAGACAGACAGACAGACAGATAGGTTTATGAGTTAGTGTTTGAGGCGCCTTAAGAAAAGAAACCCTTTGTTTTCCTTCACTCCAAAAGGGCCATCCTGGCTTAAGGGCTTGACTGCATATGACCAGGCCAGACAGGGAATGGAAAAGGCATGGCCAGCTGGGTGCATCAGGGCCGTACAAACGAGGCGTCATGAAAGTCACCAGACAAAAGAGAACACATGGCGTAACAGGGGTGAGGCGCGAGCGTGGGTACGCCTACACTTGAAGCGTGTTGAGGCAACTCATCCAAATTTACACCGAGGGATGAATGTGTTTCCTGCACTACTATCGTGTTACATTGAGTCTGCAAAGCATGCATGCACATGCCAAGACGTTGAGGCATCACATCCAAACCTTACATACCGAGAGGGGAATGCGTCTCCTGCACGATTTCCATGTTGCGGTAGGTGTAGCCAACGAAATTGATGTCCTTGGATGGCAGCATCTGGGTTAGGGAGAGAAAGCGGGGAGAAGGGATGGGACAAGTGGGCAAGAGAAAGAGTGAGTGAGTGTGTCTCCATGTTGCGGTAGGTGCAGCCGACGAAATTGATGTCCTTGGATGGCAGCATCTGGGGTGGACGAGACAGCGGGGAGAGGGGATGGGATGGGACAAGGCGGGCAGTAGAAGCAGTGACTGAGTGTGTCTCCTGCGCTATTTTCATGTTGCGGTAAGTGTGGCACTGTGGCATACGAAGTTGATGTCCCTGTATGGCAGCATCTTGGGTAGGGAGAAAATGTAGGGAGGGAGTGGAGGGAAGGAATGCGAAAAGGAGTGGAAGGGAAGGAGTGAGCATGTCTCATGCACGATTTACATGTTGTGGTAGGAGGAGCTAACAGAGTCAATGTCCTTCCTTGGACGGCAGAATCTGGGACTCATCCACTGCTGGGCTGCCTCTTGAGCTGCGAGGCTTGTGACACACACGTGTACCTCTCTCAGCACCCAACAAATTGGCTTTTGAGTCGACTCAAAAGTCATCTCATCCACTGCTGGGCTGCCTTGAGCTGCGAGGCTTGTGACACACACACGTGTACCTCTCTCAGCACCCAACAGATTGGAAGCTTGCATCTGACGCTGAATCGCCTTCTTCCAGGGGTCTGACTTCTGTGATCCATTGGCATCAACGACCTGCGGCGGGGACTGCTGGGTCGCCTTTGACCCAAGATGAATATTGAGACACCTCAAAATTCGATTTGCACACCTCAAAAATCGTTTTGCACGCCTCAGAAATCGTTTTGCACGCATCTGACGCTGACTCACCTTCTTCCAGGGGCCTGACTTCTGTGCTCCATTGGCCTCAACGACCTGCGGCGGAGGCTGCTGGGTCGCCTTTGAACTGCGAGGCTGTGAGACACATACATATGTGTACCTCTCAACACCAACAACTTGGATGCATGCATCTGATGCTGACTCACTGAATCCGACTCACCTTCTTCCAGGGGCCTGACTTATGTGCTCCATTGGCCTCAACGACCTGCGGCAGAGGCTGCTGGGTCGCCTTTGACCCTAAATGAATTTTCAGACGCCTCAAAAATCGTTTTGAGACGCCTCAAGAATCTGATGCTGACTCACCTTCTTCCAGGGGCCTGCCTTCTGCGCTCCACTGGCCTCAACGACCTGCAGGGGAGAGGACGCGGAGTGGAAGACGGGACGAGAGGAAGAGAGGAAGAGAGGGAGAGAGGAAGAGAGGGAAGAGGGGAAGAGGGGACGACGGGAAGAGGGGAAGAGGGGACGACGGGAAGAGGGGAAGAGGGGACGACGGGAAGAGGGGAAGAGTGGAAGCGGGGAAGAGAGGAAGAGTGGAAGAGTGGAGGGGAAGAGAGAAAGAGGGGAAGAGAGAATGAGGGGAAGTGAACAAGAGCGGAAGCGAGAGAGAGGGGAAGAGAAAAAGGACGTGTGGACAAGGAAATACGCATGGCGTGGGTTGGTGGACTGCATTGGAAGTTGGAGAGGATTACACAGAAAAAAAAGGGGAGGGGAGGGACTCCCTCCGAGGGAGTGTCATGAACATATCATGCCATGCCATGACATGCCATGTCATGCATGCAAGTGCTTAGTTCAGCATGTCTCTCACTGTGCGCCCCACTCACCTCGTCAAACTTCTCAAAGTTCTGTGTGTCGAGCTCGTCGTTGACCTCTGGAATGAAAGCCTTCACTTAATTCACAACAGATTCTTCTTGAGTTCGGCATGTCTAGTCTAGCACTCACCTCGTCAAACTTCTCAAAGTTCTGTGTGTCAAGCTCGTCGTTGACCTCTGGAAGGAAAGCCGCCTCCATCTTGTACAGGCGGTCCCAGGGGAGGCCGCGGAACCACGGGTGGTTCTGAGAGTGGGGTGGGGGAAGAGGGAGGGGCGGGGGTGGGATACAGGAAAGGGACACAAGGCGGGTAAGGGAGGTAAGCATGCGGAAGAAGAGAGGATGAAATCGCTGCAGACCCTATTTTGTACAGGCGACCGGGGGAGGCCGCAACCACGGGTGGTTCCGAGTGTTGGAAGGTGGGGGGAGAGGGTGACTTTGGTGGTTGAAAACACGTTGACTATAATATTCCTGCTGTGCTCCACGTCGCATAGTACGCGGCAGATGAGGTCCCTGGCCTCCCCATACCTCACACTCGACACACACTCCACGCATGTCGCCGACGCTCCTGGTGCCCAGCCGGTGCTCCACATCACACACAAGCACTGGACACACACACACACACACACACGCGCGCGCGCGCGCACACACACTCCACTCACCTTGATGTCGCCGACACTCCTGGTGCCCAGGCGGTGCTCCACGTCGCACAGAAGGCGGCAGATGAGGTCCCTGGCCTCCCGGGAGATGATCACCTCCTCGGGGAACTTGAGGTGCGTGCGCCAGTTCACAATCTGAGGGGGAGGAGTAGGGGTTTAGGGAGGGTTGGGGGCGGGAGTTAGGCAGGCAGGGACTAGAAAGCGCAATTCAGGTACCCGACCTCCCAACACGGCGTCACAGCAGGCGGCAGATGAGGTCCCTGGCCTCCCGGGAGATGATCACCTCCTCGGGAAACTTGAGATGCGTGCGCCAGTTCACATCTGGGAGGGGATGACGGGGTTGAAGGGGGCCGGGGGAAGGGGGAGGGTGCGGAAGGGTTAGGCGCTATTGAGGTCCCTGGCCTCCCGGGAGATGATCACCTCCTCGGGGAACTTGAGGTGCGTGCGCCAGTTCACAATCTGAGGGGGAGGACGGACGGGGGTGAAGGGGGTCGAGGGAAGGGAGGGGGTGGGGGAAGGGTTAGGTGTGATTGAGGTGCCTGGCCTCTCGGAAAATGATCGCCTCCTCGGGGAACTTGATTGAGATGCGTGCGCCAGTTGACGATCTGAGAGGTTGGAAGGATGGGTATTGAAGAGGGGGGGGGGGAGGGGGGGGGGGGAGGGGGGAGAAGAGCTTTAGGTTGGAAAAGGGGTCACAGAATGTGGTCATGTGCATTGTGCCACACTGCCACGCCATAGGGTCAATAAAAGGCCGCATCGTACCTTGCGACAGGTTGTCATGGGGTCGTCAGAGTAGAAAGGCGGATAGCCAATGAGCATCTCATACATAATTGCCCCCATGCTCCACCTGGTGGGTGACAGTAGGGGAGAGAATCATGCCGATGGAATGCAATGAGCACATGGGAGAGGGAAGAGTGGCAAGCCCAGGAGTATCAGCCATGTCAACGAGCATCTCGTACATGATGGCTCCCATGCTCCACCTGGTGGGGGGGTGATGGTAGGGGAAGGGGAGAGAAGAAGATCATGCCAGGAGCATGGCTGCATGGCCTTGGGAGCCTCTTGTCTCGTCCATCCATGATGGCCCTCATGCTGCACTGCACCTGACAAGTGGCGTGGAGAGAAAAAGATGCGGGGAAACAAAGTAAATGAGTGACTGGGTTCAGTTCAGGGACGAGGAGAATGGTGTGCGAACCAAATGCAAGGACGAAAAGGCTCCGGCAAACTGTACAGAACAGACTACGCATGGTGTGCGCACGCGATTTTTGAGACGTCTCAAAAATGGTGTGCGGACCAAATGCAAGGACGAAAAGCCTTCGGCAAACTGTACAGACTACGCTTATGCATATGGTGTGCGCACACGCGCTGCGCGCACACGCACGCACATGCAACGCACGCGTCCCCCGCCCACACACACACAGAAACATGCACTCACCAATCACACTCCAGGCTGTATCCCTTCTTGAGCAGCACTTCAGGTGCGATGTAGTCCGGAGTCCCCACCGTGGAGTAGGCCTGAGGGGCAGGAGGGGGGCATAACGGGGAGGGGAAGAGGGGGAGAGAGAAAGGGATGGACAGCGAACGAGGAAGGATGGAAGGAACGGGTTAGATTAGGAAATACATGTTGTGGTGGGAGGTTTCCCTTCCCTTCTTGAGGAGCACTTCCGGTGCGACGTAGTCAGGGTTGTGTTTTGAGTCGACTCAAATCAAAACACGGTTTCCCTTCCCTTCTTGAGCAGCGCTTCGGGTGCGACCTAGTCAGGGGTTCCCACGGTGGAATACGCCTGAGGGACAGGAGGGGAATCAGAAGAGGGAGGACAGTGGGAGTGGAAGGAAAGAAGGAAGGAAGGAACCGGGAGGACAGTGGGAGGGGAAGGAAGGACCAGTTGGAAAAGTAACTAGGTTGCCTGGTGGAAGGGTATCCCTTCCCTTTTTAGCAGCACAGTGGAGTAGGACTGAAGAGAGACAGGAGGGACAGCAGGACAGAAAGGGGAGAGGGGGAAAAGGAAGAAACGAAGGAATGGATTGGAGAAGGAGGCACATAGCAAACCCGGGACCAGACCCCAACCCCCTCAGTGAACGGCGGTTCTTCTGCCAGTTCTGCAGCTGCTCCGCCTGGCTCCTGCCCGACCCTGGGTGGCTGCCTTCAAGAGACGCGTTGGACAGCATGGCAGCCGCCTCCCCTCCTCCCTCCTGCCCCCCTTCCCTTACCCAGACCGCCTCCCCCACCCCCAACTCACCAGAGTGCGGCGGTTCTTCTGCCAGTTCTGCAGCTGCTCCGCCTGGCTCCTGCCCGACCCCGGGTGGCTGCCCTCAAGAGACGCGTTGGAGAGCATGGCAGCCGCCTCCTCGACGCCCTTGAGCCCACAACCGCCTCCCATCCCTGCCCCACCCTACTCCCACACCCAACCCACCCGCACACCCATACCCATCCATAGCCCCCTCACCAGCGTACGACGATTCTTCTGCCAGTTCTGCAGCTGCTCCGCCTGACTGCGCCCTGATCCCGGGTGGGTGCCTTCGAGAGACGTGTTGGACAGCATAGCAGCGGCCTCCTCCACATCGACGGCGGGGAAGGTGCTGGTGTCGAGCGGCTTGCACAGCCCGAAGTCTGAGAGCTTCATGTGCCCGTGGCGGTCCAGCAGCAGATTGTCCGGCTTAATGTCCCTGAGGGGCGAAAGTGTGGGTGGGGGGAAGGAAAAGGGGTAAAGGTGAAGGGGGGGGGGATGGGGGGAGGGTGATGGTGGAAGTCAGACAGCTTCATGTGCCCGTGGCAGTCCAGCAGCAGATTGTCCGGCTTGATGTCCCTGAGGAGGGGGAAGGGTGAGCACCGTCTTGCCCACATTGAGTTGACTTAAAACCCACCTGTGCACCTCTTTCCAGCCCACCTGCACAGCCGTGTTCACTGTAGTCACCCACCCACCTGTGCACGTAGTTGTGCTTGTGGATGCTCTCGATCGCCAGCACCGTCTCGCCGACATAAAACCGCGCCTCATCTTCAGTGAGAGTGTCCTTGCGCATGAGCAGCGTCATCATGTCGCCGCCCGGCAGGTACTCCATCACCAGGTACAGAAACTCGTCGTCCTGGAACGAGCAGTACAGCTGCACGATGCACTTGCTCTCCACCTCCGCCAGCAGGTTTCGCTCGGCTTTCACGTGCTCCACCTGTGGGCGAACAGGGTTCACCATCACATCACCGGGTGAAGGTAGGGCAACAAGGGTTAAAGTACTGGGGTTACTGGGTCCATGATCCATCACCAGCGTCCAGGTACAGAAACTCGTCGTCCTGGAACGAGCAGTACAGCTGCACGATGCACTTGCTCTCCACCTCGGCCAGCAGGTTGCGCTCTGCCTTCACGTGCTCCACCTGTGGACGAGCAGGTTTCATATCACCGGGTGAAGGAGTGGCAACAATGGTTAGAGTGCTGGGTTACTGGGTGCATCACCAGGTACAGAAACTCCTCGTCCTGGAACGAGCAGTACAGCTGCACAATGCACTTGCTCTCCACTTCGGCCAGCAGGTTGCGCTGTGCTTTCACATGCTCCACCTGTGAACGGGGTGGAACGGGGAGAGGTCAAAGAGGGTAGAAGCGGTTGCCATCACCAGGTACAGAAACGCGTCGTCCTGGAACGATCAGTACAGCTGCACGATGCAGTTGCGCTCCACCTCTGCCAGCAGGTTGCACTCTGCTTTCACGTGCTCCACGTGCCGGCGTATTGTTGGGGAGGGTTGTGGGTTGGAAGAGGGGTTGTAGGGAAGGTTAGCAAAAGGTTCGCAAAGTGTGGGGAGGGCAACGAAGGGTGGAGAAGAGGGCTGTACCAAGAAGGGAAGAGCTTCACCCTGAAAGGAGCAGTGGAGCTGCACGACGCCTCCTCCCTCCCCCCTTCGTCACACACACAAACCCACGCGAGTGCACGCGCGCGCGCGCGCACACACCCACACACACACACACACACACACACACACACACACACCCACACACCCACCTGACCGCGCCGAAGCATCTCGGCCTTCTTGAGCTTCTTCATGGTGTACACGCTGCCCGTCTTCTTCTCCCGGCTCATGCATGCATGCACACACGCACACACACACACACACACACACACACACACACACACACACACACACACACACACACACATCCACCCAGCCGTTCCCCCCACCTCCTCCCACACACACACCTGGCCGCGCCGAAGCATCTCTGCCTTCTTGAGCTTCTTCATGGCGTACACGCTGCCCGTCTTCTTCTCCCGACAGATGCGCACCTGCAAGTGAGTGGGCGGCAACGCAATGAGTGGGCGGCACAGCAGTGAGTGGGCGGCAGCACAATGAGTGGGCGGCACATCCGTAAGTGGGCGGCGGAGCAATCTGTGGGAGGCATGATGATGGCACGGGGACAGCACAGGGGCGGCATGGGAACAGAGCAGGGAAATTGGGCTAGAGAACGAACCCACACTCCCCTCTCCCTCCCCCAACCTTTACCCACCAACGTTAACTTGTACCCACGTAGGTCCCCGAAGGCCCCTCGGCCAATGATAGTGAGCAGCTCAAAGTCGTCGACGCTCATCTTGTGTCCCACTCCGCTGCCACTTCCCCCCACCATCCTACCCGTCAATCAACTCTTCTTTTCAGCACCCACCTCCCCGAAGGCTCCTCGGCCAATGATGGTGAGCAGCTCGAAGCCGTCGGCGCTCATCTTGTGTCTCCTCCCTCCGTTCTCTCCTTTCCCCCACTCTGTACCTACAAACTCCTCCGCCTCATCCCCCTTACCTCCCCAAAGGCTCCTCGACCAATGATGGTGAGCAGCTCGAAGTCGTCGACGCTCATCTTGTGGCGCTGCAGGCGGCGGAACTCCGTCTCGCGCCTCTCGAGCTCCTGCATGATGCGCTGCTGCTCCTCCTCCGGCACGTCCTCCTCCTCCAGCTTCCGCTCCAGCTCGTTGCGCCTGATACACGCAAAAGGCAGGTGACAAATTACGAGGGGGGAAGCAGGGGGGGGGAGGGAAATGGCGGAAGGCGTCTGTCCGTCCATCTCACGAGGCGTGAGGCAAGGGAGGGAATGGGATAAGGGACGTGATGCATGGGGGACGGCATGTCTCCGTCTCGCGCCTCTCGAGCTCCTGCATGATGCGCTGCTGCTCCTCCTCCGGCACGTCCTCCTCCTCCAGCTTCCGCTCCAGCTCGTTCCGCCTGCCCGGGGGGATGAAGGGCAAGCGATTTGCGCAAGGGAAGTGACAAACGATGCAACCGCGTCTCTCCGTCTCGCGCCTCTCTGGATCCTGCATGATGCGCTGCTCTGCTGCTCCTCGTGTCTGTCCTTCTCCTCCAGAACCCCCCTCTAGCTCATGCCATCTCGCATGGGGGCTCAGGTTACGTTAGGTCAGGTCTGACCAAGTCAGTTCACGTCAGGTCAGATGAGGTCAAGTAAGATTAAGAAAGGGCAGTTCAGCATTAAAGAAGCAGACGTGGGGTTGAGAGGAAGGGGAGAATCTGGGAAGATGTGTAGAGAGTGAACGGGAAACCCCGTATCCGACCGCCATTGGGCCCTCTACTGGAAAACCGAGGCTCTGCCTTCTTTTTGGCCGATCATCATCCCACGTCCAACTTCCGTGTCAGCTCATTAAACCAGGGCTGAGCCCTGTAACGAACTCGCGATTAGGTGGAGAAATTACAGGCAGAGCCAATCGCGCTATCATGTAAATCGTTTTCTGCAGAATTAAGAAACCTTATCGTGTCCTTCCTCCATGGAATCGCCAACCTGCAGGACATATCCGACAATGCTCTTGGTCGCAGCTGCTGCTGGTGAATACACAGCAGTGTGAGCGATTTCGGAATCTGCATGCAGACTTCTGGTTAGACTCCGACTTCCACCGACTGGCTTTGCTTACATTAAGTTGGAACTACTGCTCAGTCTCTTCACACTCAGACGCTCACGTTAACCGTGAATCACCGTCGCGAAAATCGTTAAAGAAGAAATGTCGCGATAATTTTATTAACTTGTCGAGAGAATTGTGAAGCACTGAGGTAAAACCTAGAGATTGACGAGAAAGGCATCTTGGAATCCACAACCTTTTTGCCTTCCGTCTTCTAGGCGCTTTTTGCGCGTTTAGGAAAAAAAAAAACGCCTAAATGCAATTCATACTTCGCCTGAAATTGCTAACTCCATTAGAAACATTACTTTAAAAGGCATTGCGGAAACGAACGAAACGAACCGAAACCGTACCTATCCTTGCGTTCTTGAATCGTCTTCATCTGGTTCCGGTAATGCTGCTCGATGTAGTTTTTCGCAGCAGCCACCTTCTGCTTAGTAATGTCCGACGCAGGATCCATTTCCTGCTCCGGAGGTTCCACTCCCTCCTCGTCCTCCCGGATCCGTCCTGGTCCAGGAGGCTTCGGCGCTCGCATGTTGAACCATCGACGGTTGTCCGCCATGGCTGCAGGCCTAGCTGCAGAAGTGACTGCAGAACCTTTCAATAAGAACTACCCCCACGCAGTAATACTTATTTTCTGAGATTGGTACCAGACGAATGGGAGTAGAAGGACAAGCAGGAAAAGTACGGACTTGTCCAGTTCAGACAACCAACCAACCAACAGCAGTGACTTCACATGAGATAAGAGTTTTGACTAGGTACGCAATTCGCGGATGCCCACCTTGAGATCTCCTGAAGTGTTCTGGGCGATCAAATTTCGTTTTATAGAAACGGTTCCGTGCGATTCTGTGCATTGTTTAGCGGTGAGGAAGCATCACCGATTCAGTCCGTTCTTCCTCAACTGTCAGAGGAGTTCCCAAGGGGTCGGTTTGGTAGTATTCCTCACTCGCGGACGTTAGGGCGGAGATGCTGGCGCGCGGAGCTCCGCGCTTCTGCCCAGACGGAAAGTGGACGGAACAGTCCAATGAAGACTGAGACAAGACGGAGAAAGACGGTAAAGGTACGACAAGCAGCATTTGCATCACCAAAGGCTTCGGCGATTCGCCAAGCGACTGTACAGCTGGGCTAGGTCACATTTTTTGCCGTTTTGCAGAACGTTGAAATATCGTCCTTACTTTTTGTCGGACTTGATGAAACTCAGTAAATTGAATGCTACACCAACTATTCAAGTTTCATAGGATTCAACCTTGTTTCGTGGGTAAATATGCCATTCGTAATAAACAAGGGTCTCGATAACATTTCCGGTAACAAAATAAAGGGTACGGTCGTTGCAAAGGGTGTTTTCACGTGTTTGATAATACGTTTCACGTAATCAGTCAGAATTAACCGGGAAACAATCACGTGAATGGTCATAGATGAAACTCCCGCCCAAAAAATATATATCCCATAAGGAAACTGGATGCATTTTCGGATTGATCAACCCTAAACACGCAAACCGCCTGGTGTATAGGGTTGATCCTATTACAATCCCAAGTGGGACTTAGCGAAGGATCGCTCAGGGTTGATCGCAGAGTAGTGTTGCAGCGGAAGTTTGAATCTCAGGTCAGAGTGAATGTAAATGACTGAGTTGATAATAGCATGCATACATCGAGTTTATATAAGAATACAGGGGAATACGAAAAGACCTAGACTAGCCATGTACTCTAAGGGGTACATTCCCTTATTACAACTGAATTCAAACCGTGCGGCGCGGGAACCCGTTTCAAACCTGTTCCCGCTCTTTTCACTTCAAATGTTTCTGCCAGCATCGGTCTTGGTCAGGCGGTTGCTGCGTCGCTTCGACTCTTCTGACTCCTCGACTTCGTACTCGGTAGAGTCGGCTCCTGCAGCATACAGGAATACCTTCTCATAAAACTTCATATCGTAACATACCGTCGATTTGCAGGGTCAGCTGCATGATCTGCGTCCACGTAGCCGTTGAGGTTGAAGGAGGTGGTCGTCAGCGTGGAGTAGGAGAGCCCAATGTCAGGAGTGGAGACGAAGTACTGCAGGGCGCGTTCCAGGTCCAGCTGGTTCTCAGCTACTGGCTTGCGAGAGTACTGCGCCAGTTGACTGGCGATGTACGAAAGGTCGGGTCGGCAGGTGACAGAGGCGAATAGCAGGCACCCCGATTTCTGCTGGTACATTTGGAGTCCTGCGGGCGACAGAGGTTTGTTGTCCGGTTTGTAGTTGGCGCTGGGGTTGCGGTAGGGAGTTGAAAGCGGTGCCGGGGAGATGTTGAAGCGTTCCCCTAGCTGTTCCGCGTATTTGGAGGCTGACAGATGAATTGCTTCTGGCGCGTAAGTGATGTTTAACCCCAAAAACTGCTTCACTTCGAGGTTGATGGTAATATCCACGCGCTGCGCCAGGTTCTCCTGAAACTGATCGAGGAGTTTGTTGTAGGTGCCCGTGTACAGCAGGTCGTCGACGTAGACTGTCAGGAGGATGTAATCGCCGCTGAAGTGAAGGCGATACATTCCCGGGTCGTGCGGGAGTTGTTTGAAGCCGATTTCGAGGAGGATTTTGTGCAGATGCTGCTGCCAGAGGCGAGGCGCCTGCTTGATCCCGTAGAGGGACTTCTTCAGTTGACAGACCCTGGGATCACCTTCTCCGTAGGTGTGCGGCTGCTCTACAAAGATGGTGGCATCCACCAACGCGTACAAAAACGCGTTCTTCACGTCGATCTGTCGCAGTGGCAGGTGCTTCGCGGCGGCAATAACGAGTAGAATCCAGACTGAGGTGTGGCGACTGACGGGAGCGAAGGTTTGATCGAAGTCGATGCCATGGCGCTGATCGTACCCGCGTACGACCCAGCGTGCTTTGAAACGCTCGATAGTGCCGTCGGCGTTAGTTTTCAGGCGAAAAAACCACTTCCCGCTGAGCACCCTCCTCCCCTTCACTGCTGCACGATCGACTAGGACCCAGGTGTCGCGAGATTCCAGCGCCTTGAGCTCCGCATCCATCGTGACACGCCACTCATTGGCGTGAGGACCGGTTAGGGCCTGACGAGGGTTCTTTGGTTCCACGGCCCGTGCAAGAGTAGAGACGGATGTGTGCAGGCCGAGAAGTTGAAGGCCTGACACATTGGTGGTGTCTGTGGTGGTGGGGACTTCCACCACATCGTCGTCTCCGCTCTCATAGCCGGGTGCCGCGGTGCTTGGCTCTGCTCGGCGCCGTGATGGTCCTGGCGCGGGGTCGTCACCGCTGTCATCGTCGTCGTCGTCGCGTGGGCGGGGTGGGATGCTAGGATGTTCGTCGGTGTCGTCGCGGTCCAGTGCTGCTGCAGCTGCTGCATCTTTCGGAGTCGCGAAGCTGCGACCGTGGTTGACGTAGCCGCGTGCTTCGTTGCGGCGCTCGTCCTCGATCCACTGCTTCAGGGTGAGTCGCTCGTAGAAAAGGATATCGCGTGCGGGAACAACTTCCTTGCTGTCCATGTCAAGGATGAGCCAACCCTTGTGCTCATTACTGAGACCCAAATGAACACCCCAACGCGCACGATGAACGAACTTGCCGATTGTGGCCGAGGTCGGCCGGTATTGCACCATGCACCCCCAAACCCTCAGCATGGAGGGGTCTCCCCTTGAGCCGGTCCACTTCATGTGAGGGGACAGGTTATCCCTGTTGGCGGTGGTGGAGAGGAGGTTGTGCAGGCGCACCGCGTGGTTCATGGCGTAAGGCCAGAACTTCTTTGGCAGGCCGGACTGGTTCATGATGGCGCGGACTTTGGTCATGAGCGTGCGATTGACCCTCTCGGCGACTCCTTGCTGCTGGTGAGCATAGGGGAGAGAAATCTCGTGTTTAATCCCCTTCTCGGTGAGAACACTCTCCAGCTCATTGCTGCGAAATTCCTTTGCCCCATCACTCTGCCAGATCTTCAGTTTCCTCCCCGACTGTCGCTGCGCGTGCGCGAGGAAGATGCGGAACACCTCCGGAGCCTTGGAACGGGCGTCAACGTTGGCGATCCACACGTGGCGTGAGTAGGCATCGATGAAGGTGAGAGTATACTTCTCGCCGTTGATGCCGTCGTGGGTGAGTACGATGAAATCGCTGTAAACTTTCTCCAGCTTTTTGTAGCGGTTGGTACTCGGCTCCAGGGAGGGATAGGCGCTGTGAGAGAGCGCAGCTGTGGGACAGACGGTGCAGGTGGTTGGGTGGGGGGTGGTGTGCTGTAACTCTGTTCCGTCGGGGGGTAGCAGTGCTCTTGGCGGGAAAACCTTGGCGCGGAGGCAGTTGGCGAGAGTCTGGCGCGAGGGGTGTCCCATTCGCTGGTGCCAGAGGTCGTCTTCGGCGCGGATGCCGGAAGTGCGCTTGTAACGGGTGTGATGCTCTGCTGCTTCCTCCGCCGTGAGTTGTGGGATCTGGAGCGGGGGTTCTTCCTCTTCTCCTGGTTCTGCTTCGCTGGCTGGCTCCCCTGCTTCTGCTTCTGCCGCTGCCTCTCCTTCTGCAGGTGCCGTTGTGAGATAGAGCGCGAGGAATTCTCGGTCGGGGATGATGGTGAGCGGGGTCGTGGTGCCTTCGATGAAGCGAGCAAACGGATCTGGGCGGGAGATTGGACCAAGTGAGTCCCGCAGAGGAGTTGGTGGTTCATTCCCCTCCTCAATCTCCGACCAAGGATTACGCCATCGATTGGGCGAGGAAGGAGGTGAGCGGGTGTGCGGGGGACGACCGAGTGGGATGGCGACGCGGGGGGATGGTTCTCCACGCTCAGCTTGCATCTCGCGTTCCATCTCTGCTTCTTCTTCCTTGGTGATTGGCGCATCCACGTATTCGTTTCCTCCCCATCCGCCGGTGTTGCCCCATCCTTCCGTGTTGACCGTACCGCTGGCGCTGGCTCCCCATGCTCCAGTGGCGGATCCCCAGGTTGCTCCGTCGCCTTCTTCTGGTTCGTAATCTTCATCTCCCCATGCGCCTCGTCGTGCTGTCTCCTCGTCCCATCCAGCCGCAACGCGTTCCTCAAACAATTTCTGTTTCTTTTCCGCCCGGGCCTTGTCTTGTTCTTCCTTGACGCTGAGCTCCTCAGGTGCGTCAGGATCTTTCCAGGCAGGGTCAATTTCGCGGCGGTAGACTTCGCGGGTGTAGGGACGTGGTCGTCCATCGTCGTCGAAGGTAGTGGTGTTGGCTTCGAGGACGAACCGTAGGGTGTCTGAGTAAGGCCTTGGCCTCTCCTGCTGCTCCTGTCCGAATTTCTTGCTCGGCTCGCCGAAGGTGCGGTGTGATGACACGGCGAGTTCTTCTTCAGTCATGCCTGTTGGTTCTGCCTCAGCGCTTTCTGCTTCCTGAATTGCCGCTTGCTCTCGTTCGACTTGCTCCGTGCGACTCGCGGTGGGCGTGTGGCAGGTGGTGCAGAGACCATTGATGTCGGGGTCGTGCAGATTGATCTCTCGGGGATGAGGACTGCGGCGAACCCACGGTCGTCCGTCC